AGAACTTCTTTTAATGTGTAAATAACGTGTGTGATTTACACATTTAAGTGTGTCGTTTTTTCTGTTTCCTACTCTGTGAAGTGTCTATGAGTTTCTTTAAAAACGTATATAGATTAAGTGTATCATTAGGAATTAAATAAAATGAAATAAGTAAAAATGAAATAAAATGATTTATGACATATAAAGTTTAAAGTGAGAATGGGCAATACAAAATAAATAAATAAGTTTACAGCTGCAATGAGGCATTAAATTGTGCAACAAGCGTGTTCCTGTAGAAGCCGTGTGGTAAACCTCATCTGAACTTATCTATTAATATTTTATTCCCAGTTTCTAAATAACCATCAAGCTTAACCACAGAAAAGCTTCCTGCTTAAAACGTTTTTAATCTTTAATGACATCACTGCTTGAACATGGTTTTGCCATTAGACAGTTTGTATATCTGATCTCAACCAGGCCAAGCCTCGGGCTGTGTGTGTTTACAGCAAGTAGAAATAAATAAAAATGTGGCATATAGAGCATTGCATCACTTATAGATATACTTTATTTTTTTTATCAGCTGTTTAACTTGTGACCGTGCTGTGTAGTTCCTTTATAGCCCAACATTAGCCACCTTTAGCTTAGCGGTGGTGACGTGAAAGTCATGTTGACCGTGGCTGTAGTTCCTTTATAGCCCAACATTAGCAACCTTTAGCTTAGCGGTGGTGACGTGAAGTCATGTGACCGTGCTGTAGGTTCCTTTATAACCCACATTAGCCACCATAGCTTAGCGGGTGGTGACGTGAAGTCATGTGGACCGTGCTGTAGTTCCTTTATAGCCCAACATTAGCAACCTTAGCTAGTGGTGGTGACGTGAAGTCATGTGACCGTGCTGTAGTTCCTTTATAACCCAACAATAGCCACCTTTAGCTTAGCGGTGGTAACGTGAAGTCATGTGACCGTGCTGTAGTTTCCTTTATTAGCCCAACATTAGCAAACCTTTAGCTTAGTGGTGGTGACGTGAAGTCATGTGACCGTGCTGTAGTTCCTTTATAGCCCAACATTAGCCACCTTTAGCTTGGCGGTGTATAACGTGAAGTCATGTGACCGTGCTGTAGGGGTCCTTTATAGCCCAACATTAGCAACCTTTAGCTTAGCGGTGGTGACGTGAAGTCATGTGACCCGTGCTGTAGTTCCTTTATAGCCCAACATTAGCAACCTTTAGCTTAGTGGTGGTGACGTGAAGTCATGTGACAGTGCTGTAGTTCCTTATAATAACCCAACATTAGCAACCTTTAGCTTGGCGGTGATAACGTGAAGTCATGTGACCGTGCTGTAGTTCCTTTATAACCCAACATTAGCAACCTTTAGCTTGGCGGTGAGTAACGTGAAGTCATGTGACCGTGCGTGTAGTTCCTTTATAGCCCAACATTAGCCACCTGTTAGCTTAGCGGTGGTGACGTGAAGTCATGTGACCGTGCTGATTAGTTCCTTTATAGCCCAACATTAGCAACCTTTAGCTTAGCGGTGGTGACGTGAAGTCATGTGACCAGTGCTGTAGTTCCTTTATAACCCAACATTAGCCACCTATAGCTTAGCGGTGGTGACGTGAAGTCATGTGACCGTGCTGTAGTTCCTTTATAGCCCAACATTATAGCAACCTTTAGCTTAGTGGTGGTGACGTGAAGTCATGTGACCGTGCTGTAGTTCCTTTATACCCAACATTAGCCACCTTTAGCTTAGCGGTGGTAACAGTGAAGGCATGTGACGTGCTGTAGTTCCTTTATAGCCCAACATTAGCAACCTTTAGCTTAGTGGTGGTGAGCGTGAAGTCATGTGACCGTGCATGTAGTTCCTTTATAAGCCCAACATTAGCCACCTTTAGCTTGGCGGTGATAACGTGAAGTCATGTGACCGTGCTGTAGGTCCTTTATAGCCCAACATTAGCAACCTTTAGCTTAGCGGGTGGTGACGTGAAGTCATGTGACCGTGCTGGTAGTTCCTTTATAGCCCAACATTAGCAACCTTTAGCTTAGTGGTGGTGACGTGAAGTCATGTGACCCGTGCTGTAGTTCCTTTATAACCCAACATTAGCAACTTTAGCTTGGCGGTGATGATACGTGAAGTCATGTGACCGTGCTGTAGGTCCTTTATAGCCCAACATTAGCAACCTTAGCTTAGGCGGTGGTGACGTGAAGTCATGTGGACCGTGCTGTAGTTCCTTTATAGCCCAACATTAGCAACCTTTAGCTTAGTTGGTGGTGACGTGAAGTCATGTGACCATGATGTAGTTCCTTTAGAGCCTGGCGTAAGCCTTTTATTTCTAGAAATCGTAAAGTAAGGGTGTTAATATGTGGAGATTATCCCGCTGAACAAAACATGTAATATCATAAACGAGAGATTATTTGTCAGCAAAAATCCAAAATGGAAAATCACATTGGGCGTTTGCAGAGGGAAACGAGAGATGCTGCCTCAGGGTCTCACAATACAGAATTATATCATCCGTGCTAGCACTTTATTACGTAATAACTCTCTCCTCCCTTTTACAGTGACTGCGCCCCTGCCTTTGTGGGCCCCTCAGGGCAGAAAGTGAGGAGACGGTCGAGGAGGCGTGGGACGTCAAGCCTGCGAACAGCTCGGTATCCAGTGGGACTGATGAACCTTTAACCTCCATATTTCCAAAGGAGTCCCTTACATCTTTCTTTATCCTTCATTCATTATGGTTTCGATGTTCCGTACTTTGAAAGCGTTTTCCTACCTAAAAGCATGTCAGGTAATACTGTCAGAGGTACTTAATGTGAAGTTGCTTTTTTGTGAAATAATGCAGTAATTACAATTATAATAACTTGAGTATTTTTGGTGCTGCTCCTCAAACCAAAAACCTCTCAAACCGTATTGTAATGTAACCACAGATAACTTTTTGACTCTATATTTTTGTGACACAATGTGGAATACAGTGTAGGCAAAAAAGCAACTTGATGTATTGTAATGGTGTAGGATACTGTGAAGGGTCAAGCCAGGGTAAATGACCAGCATCTTTATCAAATTATTGTGTTTTAATTTCCCTGTCTTGCTCCAGAATTTGCAACTATATTGCTTGACTTTTGTGCCAGCCTTTCCTACACAATGCAGGGGTTCTACAGTATTTCTAGGTTGATAAGAAATAAGTTGAAATATGGAGGATCAGTGTCAGCTTGAGACATGATTACCGCTTGAATTGCATACATGTATTTTGGATAATGTAGTTGATGTAGGATATAAGAAGGTTTTTCTATTTGAACCAAATCAGAGTTTTAGAATCGTGTCGTTGCAATATCTGCAGAGAACTTTTCCCATTTGCCAAAAAACTGCACTTTCTCGGAGGAAACTACAGTTTTCCATTTTTAAGGATCTCCCCCCTCGTCATGTTTCCTTCTCAGCATTCACAAGCAAGGTTGCCAAGAGTTTACATTCTGTGTTTTATACGAGTCAACATGCCTTTTACTACACGAACATTCATGTTAAGAGTTGAATGTTTACATTTGATGTAAATAAACGAGATATATACTATAAGTGCTGGTATTGGTCTGGATTAATACACAACAACAATGGAGAAATGGGTCATTTTAAGAGCTGCCGAAAAATGCTTGAAAAAGTGTAATTATTCCACAGAACAAAGGGTCCAATTTGATAAGTGTTATAGTGGAAGGAAAAGTTTGAAACATGTAGAAAAATATGCTTATTATATTGCAAAAAGAACAGGCTTCCTTCATATTAAAAGGAAAATTAGATTTCAGAATGTTTTTGACGGCCAACCCAGAATAAAATGCAAGACCAAATAAAATGGAAATGATTCACTATCATCTTCGGCACTTTAATGTAAGAGGCATTCAGTTAAAGTATTAATAAAATAGAGAGGCGAAGTCCCGCCCATAGGGACCTGATTTTTGTGCCACGAATTACACATGTTTGTCAATCTTAAAAAATAATTTAAGTTTGTCGTTAAACTGTTGAAATACATAGACTATTCTTTCACACACACATACGGGTATTGGGCCGAGGGCGACACCGTACTTCCGGTATCCGCCGTTTTACGCGAGGTGCAAGCAGCCGTACACCGTCTAGGTGTTGCTAAACTTCCTGTACTGAATATCATAGTCTATTGCCTTAATCAATATCTAGTCAACTCTAAAATACCACATATATGCATTGGCATGATAATATTATGTGACAAGTGGGGTATTCACCTGGTGTTTCCAGAAATAGACGTAGAATGCCAAGCACAAAATCGACGAAGGCTACTGTCGTTTTGTTGCATACATCTGCAGGCAGTTCTGTAAGGGCAATCCGACAACCCACACAGCTCTAGTTTACGCTGGTAACGACCTAGAGCACACCCCTCAAGTCCAGAGATGTAATCCGAAGACATGCAGCGATTTCTTCGGTCGTTAATTCAGAAATAAAACCTCTCTGCCTGGTTACGTAGCTAGCTGTTTATATTTGCACCTCCAGGAAAATGGCGTATTTATATATATATGGCGCGTGTTGCATTGTGGGTAGCTCGTGACGTCACTGTGTGTGAAAGAATGAAAAGTACGCAACTAGAAAGACTACAAATCCCAGAATCCCGGTGTCCTTTGTTACTTCATGTAAATTGAAATTGTAAAACATTGGTAAGGGCTCTATCGTCACAAGTTTAAATTGTGAAATGGACATTTTAAATGCAATGGTTAAAATATGCTAAGCTACTGCCAGGGATATCAATGTGATTAGAAAAACGATCTTACCTGCAAATTGAAGGCGTAGATTTCAAGGTGTAAAACATCAGAAACATACATAAAACCCTGAGAAAGTCTATTCAATGACTCATTAAGATGATATTAAGCTGGCTGCTAGCTTTAGCTTCATACTGTACAAAGAGTGGTATCCTTTTTTTTCACCTAACTAACTAACTAACTAACTAACTACTAACTAACTAACGGCGGGTAAGTAAATAAGTGTATCCCAAAACTTTCCCATTCCTTTAAAGAAACCATCCACAAATATTCCACATTTTTGTAAATATTTATTATCATCTTTACATGTTATTTTACAGGGGGATGAAGAAATCAATGACATTTCAAAATCATTTGTACCTGCATCGTCAAAGCAGTAACTGAATTAGATGTATTCATTTTTTTACCAAAAGAAGTGTATTTACTAAGTTTAAAGTGCGGCAGTGATCAAACAACAGTCAGGAGGATTAGAGTGCAAGAACGTCTTCATTCATCTCTTTCCGTTTAATAGTCTGTCTGCTCATAGAGTCCTATTGGGAACCCCGAAATGTTGAGTACCTCAACGTTTTATGTTAGAAATGTACAGTACGGGTCCCCAGCACATAGAAACGACCGGATGCTAACTTGCATATGTTGGGCAATTCGCATAAATTGCGTTGCATTGACAATAGCTATAGGATGGCTTTGCCGATTTGGACACATAGTTTTGGAGAGTATTGAGGAAGTTGAATCCATTTTTGAAATTTTAACCAGAAAGTGGCCATATTTGTAAATATGCTTAGTGATAGACAGACTTGCTATTTTTGAGTCAATTTAAAGTTTTCCGGGACTCAAAACTACAATTTTTGATTGATTCAACATCCTCAATAACTTCAGCAAACCACACACAAAAACTGTCCAAATCGGCAAGCCATTTTTTAGCTACGTCTGCATATACTAATTAATGGAACTTATGCTTATTGTGAGAATTGCCAAACATTTTCAAGTTGGCATGCACTGGACCCGTACTATACATTTCTAACATAAAACGTTGGGGTACTCGTCCGGGTTCACTAGGCTGGCAACTAGACTTTACTGTCACAGGAACATCCGTCAGTCTAGTGCAGCAGAGGGAAGAGACACATTATCTTCATCAAAATAAAGAAGACCTTGATTATATCATCAGAAATTAATCTCACATCCATAATCTCGCATCCTTGAAAAGGCAGTTTCTGCAACATGGTGATTGTTGTGTAAATTAGATCAAAACACGGTTACCTTTCTTAGGGTGAGAAAACAACATTAAACACCAAAGAAACCATATGGCAAAAGTTGAATCCCTTTTCTTTTTAAACCTCATTGACTATGTAAACTAATCATTGTGGATTTATAGAGTTTAGGACATTATAACAAAGTGTAAAGCATGATTTAAAATTAGGCACACTCTTACCAAAAACAGGACACACAAGATGAGAAATCAAAACCAGATAATGAGAAATCAATTTGATTGATAACATGATCTTGAAGTGGGGTCCCTTTCTATATTCAACATCTCAAACATACTTATTTTTATTTATTTAAATATGAATTCCTCTTACCAAAAAGCGAATAATCGCTGAAAGCTGGCCATTAAATGTGCAATATAACATCAGGTAAAACAGTAAACATCTTCATGGGGATTAACAAAAACACAGTACAACATTTGTTCAGTTTCGTGTACCGTTCTTGGCGGACGACATCTCATTGCGGAGTAAATTCACACACACAGAAACGATAAAGACATACAAATTAAACAAAAACAAAAGTCAGAAAACACATTTCGTCAGAGGCCTTCCAGTCAGTTAAAGATATTTTCCCTTTTTGCTGAGGTAGGAGATGAATCTTCGTCCAATACAGTCATGTGTAAGAATCTATTAGTTGTTGTAACATTGTTCCCTCTCAAACAGAGTGGAGATGAGAGATAAAAAGCAAACTGGCAGTAAAGCACGGTGGTGATTGGACAGTTTCAGGGCTGCACACAGGAAGTGATCATCAGGGTTTTCTAGATGTTTCTACTCAAAGAGAAACTCAACTCCAGGCTGGAAATCAGATTGTGTTTCACCTGAGACCACGCCTAGTTTCACAGTGATCAGTGAGAATTTAAAGGGACAGTACACCTTTCAAATAAACACCTGTGGTGCTTTTTATCAATGTAGATAGTTTTGGTGGAACATCTTAGAAAAAGACATTCCTGCCGTCTTTCTCAAATGTATTTTTCTATTGTATAACCTCCAGAGTCATGACCTGGTTACAAAAACTATCCATGTTTTCACGCATGTGGTTTTCAGGTGTTGAAATAAAATAGTTCCTACATGAAATTTAGATTAATATAAATATAAAGCACTTCAGGCAAGAGAAAGGATTGTGCATTTATTATTTTGGTGTGAACTGTCCCTTGAAACTTTTGCAGGTATAAGTCAAATTTGAGCTAGACACCAAATGTAGTTTAGGTCATCAGTTCACATCGTTGACTTTAATGGCCTTACATGTGCTATATCAACTATTACAGCACCAAAAAGTATAAAGCGTGTTTCTATAACCCTGGATCCTCTCTTCAGTTTTTAAGTGCTGTTCTGTGTGAATCCTGCTCTACCTGGCGCTGGGTCGGGCCTGGCGCTGCTGAGCAGACTTGCTGTGGTGCTCAGAGAGCCACTGGCTGCAGATGTTCTGCATCACAGAGTCCTGCACTCCCTCTGCTGCCTGCAGGACGTCCTGCACCAGAGGACCGGCGCGTCCCGCCTCCAGCTTCACCGCCAGCAGGTACGCCGGGCGCAGCTTGCCGCACAGCAGGTAGGCTTTGATCTGTGATGAGAATGAAAGAAGCATCAATTATTTGTCTTTATTACAACTTTCTGAGCTTATAGGATCATCATAGCATGCACACAATGTACAACAATATCTGTTTCTTTTTGTATTACTGCAGATTTTTATTCCATATTTTATTCATTTGGCAGACGCTTTTATCCAAAGCGACTTACAATAAGTGCATTCAACCAGGAGGGTACAGAGTAACAAGAGTCATGTAGGTACTAGTACTTACATGTGCTAGTACATTAGCTTCAACTAAGCCAAACCATTTAAAGTGCTAGTACATTAGCTTCAACTAAGCCAATCCATTGGAAGCGCTAGTACATTATTACAATATGTATAGAGATTTCATTGGCCGAGGTGCAGTCGAAAAAGGTGTGTTTTCAGTCTGCGACGGAAGATGTACAGTACAGACGTTCTGCTGACCGGATGTCGACGGGGAGCTCATCCACCAAATAGGAGCCAGGATAGCAAACAGTCGTGTTTTTGTTGAGGTGTAGCCGGGTCCATTTTCCATTCCATTTCTATGTAAATACTGTTATATATACTGACTATATTTAAAAAAAATATTTTTCTAGTTCTCTGTCTGTGTTTTTACTTTCTTTTTACTTTTATGTACGCACCACGACATCAAGTCAAATTCCTCGTACGTGTCAACCTACCTGGTAATAAACCTGTTTCTGATAAGACTTTCTAAGGTGTCACTAGTCTTTCTAAGGTGTCACTATTTTCTTCCACTATTGTCATTTAAATGTTTGTCTTCAGTATATTCTATGCTGCATTGTTGAAGGAGGCCTGGGACTGGCATAGTCACGCTGTAAATATTGTTTACCTTGTTTGCCCTTTTCCCATTTTCTTTGCTCTCTTAAAGCCACACGACTCCATTGACAAAAACATTCATTTGACCTGAGCAGAATATGGGAGTTAGTGGTAAACAAGGCCTCATATGGTTGGTTTGTTTGTGTTTGTGATTTAAAGTCAGTCGGTTTGGGTTCACCAAAGTCATACAATGACACAGAAAAAACTAACCAAGCGGTAGACCAGAAAACTCCTGTGTTCTGCAGGTAAAATGATTGTTTTTGTCAATGGCAGGTGCTCCATGACACTGATTATAGATAAGTACTTCATACTATCCTACTTGAAAACATCTTCACTACCCCTTATAGCAGGGGTTCCCAACCTTTTTTCCCAAGAGCCCCCCCAAATGACTCCTGTTGGAAGTTGCGCCTCCCCCCCACACACACACAAGGGGGGGGGGGGGGAAACAGCGGTAATTAAAGTTTAAAAGTCTCAAAATGCTACAACTACTGTCACAAAGTGGATGAATGTGAAGTATTTTGTTAAAGGAGGATGAAAGCGTGATTAAGGAGCACTATTGGAGTGACTTTGATGGTTATTGGACTCAGGATTCATTCATTTGGATTCCCGCTGTATGAAGAAATTAAAGGACGGCGGCAAGTGGAAACAATTCACAAAGGGATTAAACTGTTTAAAAACACGTGCTCAAAGTAAGCCGGATTTTGCCGATGTGTTTATGTGGATTCAAAAGTCGTAAGTAATGGAGGAGACCGATCTGATCGGAGCAACTGTGACAAATAATCCAACTGAAACCGGCATGGACAATGACTGTGTTTTAAAAATGTGCTTATCCAGCAAAGCCCCGGTTTGGACACTTTACGGGCAGAAGAAACAATAGCCAAGCCTGAACCAAAGTGACCTGAGAACAGGGTAATTACTCTCTCTATATTCACATAGAACCGCCTTCAGGCAGGAAAAACACTGATAGACGAGAATAGAAAGATTGTCTCTACCTTGCTTTCTGTGCTCTTGGCCTCCAGAATGAGGCTTTCCAGATCCTTGGCCTGTATCAGATAAAGAAGGTCAACAAAAGTCTTCAGGACTAAACAGAAAAACACAGAGTCGTGATTTGTTATCGTAGCTAAATGTTTTTCTCACATCTGCCGGGCTCTTATCTGCGAAGGAGACGCAGCTGAGGATCAGGGCGTCGCAGTCGTTCTTGGTGGCGGTTCCCGACTCCCCGACACATTTCAGGAGCTGCCGCACGGCGCCGTACTGCCGCTGCCGGACGAGTCTCTGCCCGGCACGAACATACACCGCCTGGGCCTCCAGCTGGAAGTCCTGAGGCAGGCAGAGGGAGAGGAAACAGTTTTGATATAAATCAGGGGTGTCCAAACTACGGCCCGGGGGCCAAATGCGGGCCGCGGACCATTTTGAATCGGCCCTCAATCAGCAAATAAAAAAAGTATAATGACTTAAGTATAATAAGCCTTTTTTCTTTTTTAATGCTGCTATGGACAAGCTTGCACTAATGAACATTCCCAAAGATATTGATATTGAAGTGATTGTTATTTGGTATATATTGATTGTTGTGTTTTTTATCTTAATGTGTGCATATGTGTAAATGTGTCTGTTGATTGTGTGTATACATATTTTATACATATCTGTATATTGTATAATTGTATTTTTGTATTCGGGATTGTTGGAAATGATTTCGATCTCTCTGTCTGTACACACAAACTGAAAGATTGACATTAAAGTTGACTTTGACAATACACTTCTGCTTGTCTGACTTCTTAAATATATATGTTCAAATATATAACACAGTATTCATGTGTTAATAAGCCAATTTTCAAATCAATTCAAGCTGAAAACATGTTCCAACAAATCTAAATTGATAAGAAAAAAGCCCAATAACAACTGTACATAACAACCTTGAAACAAACCCTTCCTATTTCCTCTTATTATAATCGGCTTCTGTTTTAAGGAATGAGCTGCCAACACAGTAAAGTAAACCCTCTGGAGAGCTGTTATGGAGGCAGTTGTTTTCTTAAAGCATTTTCAAGTATCAAGAATAATGAACCTACATTGGATTGACTTTTCCAACTTATAACTGAACTTAAGAGGCAACATACCTCGAGGGAGCGGCCCAGCCCTTCGTATATTTGTCTGTATGTGGCCCTCGGTGAAAGAAGTTTGGAAACCCCTGATATAAATAAAACAGGTTCCCACAGCTTGAGGGAAGTTAGATTTAGAGAGACTTTCTGAATGCCACTTGAAATTAGATTTAAGACCAAAGATCAAATACTAAGATGCAAAACAATGTAATAAGGGCTATGGTTTACTTCGGTTTAGGGACAATTATTCTACTTATATTATTATCTCCTTTAAAAACACTAGAATCGAACATGATATGAGGTTTGTAGGTTGTTCCACGTGAAGTTAATGTGAGCGGTGTTTCTTTAATATTTAAAAACAATAGAGGTTACATATGTAGGTAAAATACTGGGCACAGATCACCTCGTCCACAACGTACCTGTACGACTCTATAAGCGATACCAAACCCTCCTCAATGTTTTTCCCTCCGAGCATCACCTGCAAGAATACAAATGAAAAAGACACTTCACTTATTTTATCATAAATTATCAACAGTATGTTCTTATATCTATAATATAGAGCAGGGGTCGGCACCGTAACCAGTGGCACACTAGGAATAAGTGGAATAAGTGGGCAAAAATATTAAATTGTATTTTTGGATCCTAAACAAGACCGCCGCCAGAGCGCGGTCTCCCCGTTCCCTGCAGAAGGAAGCCATGCACGCAACGCAGCTCCGCTCTCTTTCACTCCAGGCGACTTTCTGCCGCTTTCCTCCGTGGTGCTGATCTTTTCACCACGGAGGAAAGCACTTCATAAATGGCAGTACCCATAAGGAGCTGTACAAACGCCGCAGTGTTTGCGTGGCTGTGTCTTTAGGTGAAAGCCCAGTGGCGATCTGCTCATCTCTCATCAAAATAACATATCCGTGTGTTCTGGAGAATCACAGAACGGACGATCGTCCTTATTATTATGCCGTTTAAACAAATTATTTAAAGTTGTTTGTTAAATTCGGTATCATGTAAGTTGCGCTGACAGGTCCACACACTGTTTCCCCGCAGCGAGGCTCCCCCCGCCCTGCTGTTGACAGTTCACGAGCTTTGAGCCCCCCCCCCCCCGTTGATAATTCACGATCGTCGGCACGCTGATAACAAATGTTTTTCTTCATATCAAAAAGGTTGCCGACCCCTGATATAGAGAAACAATTAACTATGCCTTATAATAATTGACAATAATTACACATAAGTATTAAATAAATCCAACTTATGACATATTCAACAATGTTATTAAGGGTACCATAAACCATTAAAAAAAGCCTCAGAAATAAAAAATATTTTTGTGTAACTGATGTTTACACAACATTCATTTTGCTCAGCTCCAACGCGACCTCAATCAAGTGCATTCAAACATTTTGGGAGCATGTCCCCTTTAAAAAAAATACAATGAAAAACAGAAATATATATACATTTATTTTACCTCCTACAAAACTATGACACATTGTATCCAAGGTTTTAACCATAGACTGTATATATAAAGGTTTTAACACATCAGGAAAGACATTTAAAAAACTGAAATGCATTAAAAATTATCAACGCATTTAAAACTCATTACTGTTATAATAACAAGATGACCCTCACCTTGCAGGCGACCTCCACCTTCACGGGGCTTCCTCCGAACAGGGTGGGGGGGGCGCTGGCTCTGGGGGATTTGGGGGAAAATGTTGCCGTCCGAGGAGACTTCGGAGAGACGGCGCTCTCACAGCGGTGCAGGAAGCGAGTCACCTCCAGCTGCAGCTCGATGGTGTTCATATGCCTGCATGAATTAAGAGACAAATAACATACGGTAAGTATCCACTCTAAATGTGAGAAATGTGGTAAAACAGGTCATTTTTAAAGTGTCATTCTTCTTACTGTAATTATTTCTTTACTCATTTTCAATTATTTGTACTCAATCCAATTGATCAACGTGTAAAGGAATAGTAAGGTCATGGATTATCTCGGATAATGCAGTAGAAATGTCTGAGGGCTTAACAGGTTAAAGAAGCAAACATGTAGGTTTATTTCCTCACATTAATTAAAATAAGAATATATGTAAAGACCTGGAGACGTCGCTGGAGGACATCATCTTCCTGAAGGAGTTGACCTGCGACCTCCTCTTCCCGCCCCCCCGGCCCTGCTGCTCCTGCAGGAACGTCCTCAGGTGCTCTTTGGCCCGGACCAGCCAGCTCTGCACAGGTGAACAGGTTAAGGTCAGGGACTACTTTCTCTCAGATGTAAAGAAGGGTTTGTTAGAGGGATGTGTTAGAGAATATTTCTTCTTTCTTCCTAAGTGTCAAAGAATAATTCTTCCTTACTTCTAAGATATTTAACATTTACTGTGTGTTTACATTTACGATCAGCCCTGCTCCTTATCTTCCGTAAGGAATGTGATAATGCAGTCGTATGTTGATACTATAAATTGTATGGCTTGACCTAGCGGACATAGGGGGCTTTACGCTAAGCTCCACAGATGAGAGACATCTCCTGTGTCTCCAGATGTTAACGCCCCATCTCCCCAAATCAGGGTTTCCGCTAGGATTTTTTCTCGCCGGTCAAATGTCCGGACAGAATTTATTTTACCGGACAAATTTGAAACTTACCGGTCATGTTTCAATAAGAATAATAAGAGTTGTGTAGCAGAGTTTCCGTTAGCAGGTAATTACCGGACTATGAGCGGATATGCTGATATTTAAAACTCAGTTAATGGGAGTCATTTTTATATTGCTTCAGTTTATAATCGTAACAGATCGAAAAGTTCAGATTAATTTTTCAATAAATGATTCCACAAACAACATGATTATTACATTCAAAGAAACTACTTGTAGTAGATGAAGTACATTATTCAAAAGGTTAAATTAACTTTGAAGAATAACACGGGAGAAACGGATCCTCTCTCTTTTCCCTCTCTCTCCTGACAGCCGGTCAGTTTCTCATGCAGCGCGCTAAACAGTGGGCGGGGCTTCAGGTGATTATGCAGCAGCTGATCTGATCTCTCTCTCGCGTCCGGTTACACTTCACTCGCGTTTATGTCCATATCGATCAGATCCAGCTCTCCTGGTCGGCCTTTATAGAGAGCACCGATCAAACTATTAAGAGTGAATATCGGCCGATAATGACCGGCGGCCAATCGATCGGCGCATCGGACATTTTGACCGGCAGGTTTTGAATTTACTGGTTTTTATTAAAATGTACCAGCTAAAAAACGGTAATTACCGGCTAAAGGAAACCCTGCCCCAAATATGTTGTTTACTCTCTCTGAACTAGTTAAAGGTCTATCGAGAGATATGCTGGTCAGAATTGACATGACAACCCACCCGTGCAGTCAGAACCTTTTGCTGCTGTGACTTGTGATATGAATTCTCCGGCCGTTGACTTGTAATAAACTATCATTGTTTGACATCAAAGCTCCAACTCTCCTCGTGTCTCTCTGAGTCCTGACTCTCCATTGCTGCAGAAGTTTCCCTTACAGGATGTATACCTGGTTTTCTCCCAGCTGCAGGTAGGAAGTGGCTCCATGAGTGAAGAATCTGATACAAGTCATGGCTGCACGCACGTGATCCTGCACGGGTACACAGCATGTCACACACAAACAGTATTATTTCATTATCTCGAAGAAAATGTTACAACAACGGCACAACACTGCTTTCCCAGTGTGGGCTTGTTTTTCACTTTATATGTGACAGTTGCTCTATCTACAATGAAATAAGACAAACATTTATATAATGACAAGAAGTTAAAAAGGTGGGAATTTGCAATATAGATGAAAAAAGTGCAATAAAAGCTATAATAAAATAATTGTATTTTCTCTATTTAGGATTGACTGTATAGAGCAGTGGTTTCCAAACTGGGGGTCAGGACCCAACAAGGTTTATCAAACGTTTCTCTCATCTTTGTGTATTTCCTGCAAGATATTATAGTTTTACTCCTTTAGGAAGCAGACAATGCTTTTAATTAAGGGTTCATAAGAAAAAAGATTGTAATTTTACCTTGAATTTGTGCAAAATAAACACTTTTCTAACATACCTTTAAGGTATAATACGTTATAAAAGTATTGCTTCAACCAGTAGGCCCAACAACCAATGTTTTCTAGGTGTAATAACTGTCAGGTTGCTTATGCACAAAGCATTATCATTACCTCTGTGGGACTAATAAAGGTATTCTGATTAGCTTGTTTTTTGTATTTAAATCAAGCCACGGACCTCACCACTGTCCCTTTCAAATGATAAATAAAGGCTCTGACCGTCATGAACTGCTGCAGCTGGTAGAGGGTGTTGAAGTATCCTCTCCTCTGCAGGAACTGGCAGGAGGCGATGAGGTACCGGCTGCAGGTCTCCAGACCCGGGTCCAGTTTCTCCATGATGCTCTGCAGAGAGCCGAGCCGCCCTTTCTCCAGACTGGGCTGCAACACACCCTCCAGAAACACCTCATCCGGGCACTCCTGAGACGTAGGAAAAATAAAAACACATGTCAGACTTATAGCAGGTTAGAAGAAGAAGGGGCAGTCCTATTCTCACTTAATGCCCTGCTAATATCTGTTTTCTAAAAAGGGTCTGATCAACCTAGACAGCTTGTTTTTTTGTATAAGTGTAACCGGTGTCGATAAGCGGTGTCTGCGTTGTGTTTAATGTTGTTGATGGATGAGCCAGCATACAGTCGAGGAGATCTCCGTTTATTCACTGACAATATACAACAAGTCAGTATTAAATGTGTTTTCCCTCATGATATTGGGGGAAACTTCTGAAGCAATGGGAGTCAGGACTCAGAGAGACACGAGGAGAGCTGGAGCTTTGATGGCAAACACTGACGGTTTATTTGGAGCTTCGGCCGGAGAATTCACAAGACATGTCACGGGCCACGAGTTGACCACACGGAAGAGATGCCACAATCAATCCTGAAGAGCCCTCCTGTAGCTCCAGGTTTGAACTAGAGAGTGTAATAATCAACATTCTTCAATAGATAGACTAAACAGCTGAGGACATTGAATCACATTTGTTGTCGCTTATGGCTCGAGGTCATCTCCACCTGAGAAGGATGCTCCAGGTGTCCCACAACAATAACTATCTCTGACAGAGAGAGGCCCGGTCACAAACTGGCAACATCAACAATATGCTAGGGAGATAACGGCTGCTCAAGGTTGGTCAGCTGCGTCAGAGGGTGAAGGAGGACACGCAGGGCAAATGATTCCCCAACAATGATGACTTCTCTCACGTGGAACATTTACAAAAAGGAAGAGGAAAACGTGAGGGACACAATATGAAGGGGGGAAGTCCCCACAAAAATAATCTCCTGAGTACAGTGACTACATTCTGGAGGTTCCGCCCACTGATTCTAGACAGTCAGGTATTGAACGTTTAATAAATAAAGAACACAGAATTATTCAATACAAAACACAGAATTAGTGTGATTATACTAAATGATTTACAAATATATATATATCATGACCGAAAGAACGAGATCGCGGATACAAGCGGCCGAGATGAGTTTTCTCCGCAGGGTGGCTGGTGTCTCCCTTAGGGATAAGGTGAGAAGTTCGGTCATCAGGGAGGGACTCGGAGTTGAGCCGCTCCTCCTTCGCGTCGAAAGGAGCCAGTTGAGGTGGTTCGGGCACCTAGTTAGGATGCCACCTGGGCGCCTCCCTAGGGAGGTGTTCCAGGCACGTCCAGCTGGGAAGAGACCAAGGGGTAGACCTAGGACCAGGTGGAGGGATTATATCTCTTCGCTGGCCTGGGAGCGCCTTGGGATCCCCCAGTCAGAGCTGGTTGATGTCGCCAGGGAAAAGAAAGTTTGGGGCTCTCTGCTGGAACTGCTACCCCCGCGACCCGACCACGGATAAGCGGGAGAAGATGGATGGATGGATGGATTTACAAATAAATATTTAACACGGAACACCACTGTGTATTTACAACTGTTACATAAACAGGGTACAAAAACATACTTTTATTCGATGTTATTCTAAACAGAAATCCTGCACACTGCACAGAGTTTAGGGAACATGACATCCTGCCAAATTAGAGATCTTAGCAACAGCTCATTGTCAAGAACATCTGAATCTGGGTCAGATGATTCCAGACAAATTAAAGCACAAAGTAACATTTTGAATTTCAGACACACACCTGGTGCCTTTTGTTCATGTATCTGACATTCAAATGAAATGATCACTTAAAAAAGGTGCTTTTCCTTAAGAGGACTATCATGTTGACATCCAAAAATCTCCATAAAATTATACATTCGCATAATTTACCATTCTTACCGACTCATTTTCTGAAAAACAACTTCAGTCCTGATCATCTCTAACAAAAATGTAAATATTCTACCTTTTAAATGCTATTTGTTCAAACTAATTACAGTGTTATTCTTACGGCCCGTCCACACGGCGGCGTGCGTTGAAGCTTCAACGCTTCTGCCCATTCGCTTTGAATGGGGTGCCGTCACGCTTTGCCGAACTGCATTGTGGTTCCGTCGCTTCGCGTTGCTCGCTTCAAAAGTTGAGCAATGTTCAACTTTTGAAGCTTCGATGGAAGCGTCAGCCAATCAAATCATATGCCAGTACAACTCTAGCTAATCAAACCGCGTGCTTGTGTGTCCGGGGCGGGAGTCGGGAGATTCATGTGATTGGTTGTTGGTCGAGTTTCAGACACGCCCACCGGCAAGCTTCAACGCAACCGCCGTGTGGACGCTGCGTTATATAAGCAAATCTTTAATATATATATTATAATGCATGATTTTATGCTGTTTTTAATTAGTTGTATTCCTTTAGGGTCTTAGTGTCTGTATTTTGTCTAAACACTTTATCATAAACTTACTTTAGAAGGTTAGGTTTCAAAATCTAGAAAAAAAATTAATTAAAACATTTCTAATTAAATAGCCAGACTTGTCCCTAGCGATGCACAAGGGTTTACCGCACTGCATGTTTAATTAACAACTCTAATTGCGCCTGAATGTCTTCATAATTAACTTTAAAAAACACAGTCTCCTCACCTTGTTGAGCAGGTAGGTGAGCGCCTCCGTCATGCAGTCGTGTCTCATGTAGAAGCTGACGAGCGCCAGGTGAGTCCCGAAGGTGTTCAGGTAGAAGAGACACTCCTGCTGCCGGACGCCCTGCAGAGGAGCCTCGCTGCGATCAGAAGGACCCGAAGACTCACTCAGAGCCTCCTCCAGATCCCTGAGGGACGCCAGGATGTCCTCACCTGGAGACTACACACACACACACACACACACACACACCACACACACACACACACACACACACACACACACACACACACACACACACACACACACACACACACACACACCACACACACACACACACACACACACACACACACATCCACACACACACACACACACACACACACACACACACACACACACACACACACACACACACCACACACACACACACACACACACACACACACACACACACACACACACACACACACACACACACACACACACACACACACACACACACACACACACACACACACACCACACACACACACACACACACACACACACACACACACACACACACACACACACACACACACACACACACACACACTTCAGCTTAGCACATATTTTCGGCATATGCATGGTCTCCAATGTAGGATTCATTTGCTAAAAAACGAGACTTCTCCCCGTTACCGAGTTCAGATTGAGCTGCACGGTGTTCTCCAGGTGCTGCACCACCTCCTGCAGCAGTAAGGGCCCCAAGTTCAGCTGGTTCCGGTCCAGAGGGGCCTTCAGGAAGCGGGAAAACTTCTCCCTGGCTCCAGAGAGGTTTCCTGCCTTCAGACAGGCCATCCCCCACGCCTGCCACACACCCCCCGTCTCCAGACCACTCTTAGTCGACACCTAGAATAAGAGACAAACAACCAGGAAAAGAAAATAGATATCAATAAGATGTTTTTTACTTAAGTGTATTACCTAAGAGACCAAGATATTTAGGGACAGAAATGTCTATAATTATAGGAAAACCTGCAAGACATTTATCATATTCAGCAACAATGAAACACATGAGCACAACATTGTAATCCTGCTAACACCAATCTGATTAAGTCTCTTTTTTATGTAACTGTTGGAAGCTATAAGGCAATATGGTCCTTGAACTATCTGTCCTGTCCTTTCCAACAATGTGTCAGACAAAGGAGGAGATGCCTTATGCAAGTTTTGAAAGTCACAAGCGTCTCGTCTGACACCCAGTTGTTGTGCAACTCAAACATTCCCCCGAGCACATTTCTGTGTCGTAACTGTATGTGATCTACAGTCGACTACATGTCAGGGTGTTCAGCGTTGGTACATCTTGTTCAGCACACCTGTGTAATGTTCAGCGTCATGTGCCAGGTATTTTAGTTTTAAGCTGGTAGTACAGTGTCTCCTCGAGGCTATTTAGAGAGAAACATATTTGAAATCCTCAGAAGTTTCATCATTAAATACTGCTGTACTGTAGGATCAAGTGTGTGAGTATGTTGAGCATTCAGGAGATTTAAAGAGGCCTTATTCTGCTTTCTGGGGTTTTCCAGTTCCTCTAGTACAGTGCGTCTCAAACTTTTTTCAGTCATGTACCCCCTTTGAAACATTTTCTCAGCCAAGTACTATCTGACCGACCCCGAAAAAGCCTATACAAATAATTCCAATATAGTGATGTTCCCTCAGTGTGTGATTTATTAACTCCTTCACAACAAACTAAGGATATTTTCATTTTATGCATGAAAAAAGAAAAAAGGACTTTTTCAACTGAAGTAATATCTGTTTAACAAACCAATGAACAAAATGATATATTATGCAAAACTATAAAATACAATACACCAATTTCACATGTTTATATATTTTATATAAAATTGTGTTTTCTATTTAACTTATTGTACTAAGATTATTTTTGTAATCATGCATGGTATTTTTTTAATTAACTTATTATTTAAAAAAAAAATCTCACGTACCCCCTGCAGTACCCCAACGTACCCCTAGGGGTCCTCGTACCCCCATTTGAGAATCACTGCTCTAGTGTGTTCTTTAGGTTTGTGTGCATATACACGGTCTGCAAAGACTACAATCCCTGTGTTTTCTCCAGAGGGAAGTCATTGTTTACTTCAGTAACAGGCAGTGGCGGTTCTAGACCAATTTGACTGGGGGGGCCAGGCTGGGGCCAGTTATTTTCTGAGGGGGGCCCAATAAATGCAGGACGAAAAAGACAGTATGAAGTAATTGCGCATTAGAAAACAATGCAATACAGTTATTGGTATTTGTTTCATTACACATATTTATTTCAGATACTTATAGTTACAGTTTTTACGCTTTTATGCAAGGGTCTCCAACCTTTTTCAGGATGAGAGCTACTTTCAAAAAATAAAACAAGTCGTGAGCTACTTTTAGTCCTCTTTTTTTTGTTTTTTGCAGTGTATATATTTAGCACATTTTAACATTATTATATTCTTACCTTTAACCTTTTGTTCTGTTTGGGTCTGTGGGACCCGTTTTCAGTGTCAAGAAAATGTATGCAATTTAATTATTTTAACCTGCTTTATTTTACCTGCTCTAGGGGGTCCGGGGGCATGCACCCCCAGGAAGAAACACTCAGATGAAAGGGAGCTGTATACTTTTCAATAATACAAAAATCTTTGGAATATGATTACAACCAATACAAAATCATTTAAACTTGTTTATTCTTATGTTACCGAGTTAGCATTCTTTCTTTTTATGTATGCATATTTTACTAATCACTCCCCTTTTAAACTGTTTTTAATTTTTGTTACTGTCTGATAGTACATATTGGAATGATTTCTTACTTTATTTTTGACAACTATATGAAATAGATAAAGGTGTGCTCTCTCTAATGGGTCCGACTAGAATTACAAATATCGTTAGTTCCACCTATTCCGTCAGCCAATAAATCGTTTAATCATAAACTTTTCTTTTTCTTCATTTTCAGGGGGGCCACAGGGGGGTCCAAAGGCAGTGTTAGGGGGGCACTGGCCCCCCCTGCCCCCCTAGAACCGCCCCTGGAAACAGGGACATCACTATGGATCACCTGCGCTTCTATTGGCTAGCGCTCCAACACATTGTACGTGATAGGCTAAGTGGCGGGACATCTCCAAGCGGTTCACCAATCACAACAGAGCCGGCCAGCTAACCAATCAGAGCAGACTGGGCTCTGGTTTCAGACAGAGAGTGAAAAGAGAGCAATAAAGAGCTTTTTGAACATTAAAGCATGGAGACATGTCCCAGTAGAGACACTACATACTGATATACACCTGAACATCAGCAGGAGAGGACTCTTTAAAGGTGAGACACTACATACTGATATACACCTGAACATCAGCAGGAGAGGACTCTTTAAAGTAGAGACACTACATACTGATATACACCTGAACATCAGCAGGAGAGGACTCTTTAAAGTAGATACACTACATACTGATATACACCTGAACATCATCAGGAGAGGACTCTTTAAAGTAGAGACACTACATACTGATATACACCTGAACATCAGCAGGAGAGGACTCTTTAAAGGTGAGACACTACATACTGATATACACCTGAACATCAGCAGGAGAGGACTCTTTAAAGTAGAGACACTACATACTGATATACACCTGAACATCAGCAGGAGAGGACTCTTTAAAGTAGAGACACTACATACTGATATACACCTGAACATCAGAAGGAGAGAACTCTTTAAAGTAGAGACACTACATACTGATATACACCTGAACATCAGAAGGAGAGAACTCTTTAAAGTAGAGACACTACATACTGATATACACCTGAACATCAGCAGGAGAGGACTCTTTAAAGGTGAGACACTACATACTGATATACACCTGAACATCAGCAGGAGAGGACTCTTTAAAGTAGATACACTACATACTGATATACACCTGAACATCAGCAGGAGAGGACTCTTTAAAGTAGAGAGACTACATTCTGATATACACCTGGACATCAGCAGGAGAGGACTCTTTAAAGTAGAGACACTACATACGATTTAAACTTTAAGGCACTCCCTTTTAAAACAGTTAAAATGCCTTTATTGTCTTACATTTAAAAACAAACTCTGAATTCTCTAGCCTTTTTTGACTCCCTGACAAAGGTTTAACAATATCAGAGTTTGTTTTAAGGTCCAACGTATCTATGTAATGACCAGGAAGGAATACAAAGGTATAAATAGCCGTCCTCCTCACCTCCACGGCCAGCTGGTAGTGCTCGGCCTCCAGTAGCTGATGACGGAGGCGAGTGATGGCAGAAGTCTCCACGATGTCGTCCAGAGAAGGAATATCTTTGTAGTTCGCCGTCACCAGAATCTTCAGCACGTCTACTTTGCTGATGTAGCTGAGGAAATAGAGGATAAGTAAAAGAGTGAGATCGGAACAATTTGCTATGACCAAAAGTCTGAATTCTGAGATATATTTTAACATTTTGCCCTTATCATGATCCATACGTAGCATCTTATGTTCAATATCCTTTTCATTTTAACAGTGATAAGATGATACAATACCAAGACCTAAACTTAAGACAAAACATATCGAAGAAACCAAAGTACAAAAATAGACACCGACATAAAAAAATATGTTACCCCCCATAGTTATAACTTTCCTCTTTACATATGTGAACATTCTCCAATGACAAAATGGATAGCAGTTCTCAAACTATGCCTAAATATTATCGAATCATTTGTGTGATTTTTTTTAGGTGATTTCAAGAATGTGCCTGAGTCCAATCGCAGACATAGGTTTTTCTCTTGCAAACACTTTCTTTACATGGCTTTGAACTGACCACAACAGAGTTCCCAAGAGTTCTTTGCAGACAAAAACAACTGGGAAAAAAAGTACATTTGTCTGATTTCTAGTCAGTAAATGTCTTTACACTTGAGAAGTGCGTGCACTCCGCTCTGCATCAGCCAAACGACTCGCTGCGCCCTCGCTGCGAGGGGGACCCAAGTTCCCATCAGCAAAAACACGTGGGTTTGCTATCCTGGCTCCAAGATGGTGGAATGAGCTCCCCATTGACATCAGGACGGCAGATAGCTTGCACATCTTCTGGCGCAAACTGAAAACTCATCTCTTTCGACTCCACTTCGAGCGATAGAATTATTAACAAAGCACTTTTATACTAATAAAGGACTGGCTTATCTAAAGCCAGTTGAGTAGCACTTGAAATGTTTGGCTCTATGAAACCTGATGTACTTATATGATTCTGTTTTCTTCAAGGTTGTGTCTTCCTGGTCGAATGCACTTATTGTAAGTCGCTTTGGATAAAAGCGTCAGCTAAATGCAATGTAATGTAAGAAGTAACAGTGTAGTAAGATAAGGAATCTTGTTTTCTAGACAATGCATCTTAAGTATCTCTTAAAAACATTATTTTGAGTTATATCTCAGATGAAACACACGGTTTTTAAGCACCTGTGGTATTTGCAAAAGATGGATCATGTGGTTTCACAAATAATTCTTACTTGACTTTAGAAAATAATTTTTTTTGGAAAATCACCAACATCAGAAAACAGAACACTTTTGAGCTTTTCTGGCTTATTTTGTAACACAACATTTATTGGTAAAATATAGGTTAACAAGATCTCATTTATCTAAATATCTGATCTAATATCAACAAATGTTACCAAGCAATTTTCACCTGTTCTACTTGCAGATTTATTTGCTTATTACAAGCGAAAAAACTTGTTTTCACTATTTTTGTACTTGTTTTTGGAGCAGCATGTTCTCCAGTGGACCCAGGGTTACATCTCACCTGTCGCACAGTGCGAGGTCCTGGCTGCGGCCCACCTTGACGAACATGAGTTTTGCGCTGAAGAGCAGCTGCTTCATGATGTCAGTGAGCAGGCAGGCGTCCACCTCGGGGTTTGTCAGTTTCCGAGACAGAGAGCGGCAATGGCTGATCAGCTGATGCCCGCAGGCCGTCTGATCGCTGTGCAGAGAGAGCAGCGCCACGCACAGGAACGCACTGGGAGCCTGTGAGATAAAGGAAACCACTGAGATTATCTTTACTGTATTCACTGGGTTAATTCTACTTTAAAGGTCCCCTATTATACTGTTTTACATCAATATATTATAGGTCTCAGATATATACAGAGCCTGTCTCTGATTGGCTGAAACACCAAACAGATCATTGCAGCATTACCCATAATCCCCTCTGTTTCAGCCCTGTTTCCAAAGTGCTGATTCTCTGTCTGTTACTTTAGATGAAAATAAGGAGCCCCTCCCCACGCCCCTCTGAGAGACATTTGGTTACAAAGAACTCAATGGTGCTCTAGGAGGAGATTCAGGTGATAAGGGGGGGGGGGTTACCTTGGTTGCTAATTGGCTAATGGTTACACAAGACAACACATCGTTATGACATCATAAAGTGGCCAAAATCTGATCAGCTCATTTTCAGACAGGTTTTTATAGAAATGGATCAAAAAGAGAGAGAATCTTTGTTCCTGAAACTTACAGAGTCTCTTTACACAGAGGGGACACATGTTGATATAGAAGAGACATGAAGAAGAGGGGACACATGTTGATGTAGAAGAGACATGAGGAAGAGGGGACACATGTTGATGTAGAAGAGACATGAAGAAGAGGGGACACATGCTGATGTAGAAGAGACATGAAGAAGAGGGGACACATGCTGATGTAGAAGAGACATGGAGAAGAGGGGACACATGTTGATGTAGAAGAGACATGAAGAAGAGGGGACACATGTTGATGTAGAAGAGACATGAAGAAGAGGGGACACATGTTGATGTAGAAGAGACATGAAGAAGAGGGGACACATGTTGATGTAGAAGAGACATGAAGAAGAGGGGACACATGTTGATGTAGAAGAGACATGAGGAAGAGGGGACACATGTTGATGTAGAAGAGACATGAAGAAGAGGGGACACATGTTGATGTAGAAGAGACATGAAGAAGAGGGGACACATGTTGATGTAGAAGAGACATGAAGAAGAGGGGACACATGTTGATGAAGAAGAGACATGAAGAAGAGAGGACACATGTTGATGTAGAAGAGACATGAAGAAGAGGGGACACATGTTGATGTAGAAGAGACATGAAGAAGTGGATTTTGCAGAATAGGTGACCTTTAAGACAACTGTAACACTTTATTTATAACTAATGCTGTTGATGTGTTGTGATTTTAAAAAGGTGTCTATTATCATCGGGCCGGGGATAACAGCTGGAATATGATCTCAAATTTAGGCTGCAACCCATAATCCATATGTCAAGAAGAGTAGCATTTAAGAAATATAAGATTTTAAGTGTTACCTAAATGCTTGTTGTCCCCTACAGTAAGCTAAAAATGACCGATGATTTGTAATAAGAAATGTTAACACCCGACCTGTTCGTAGTAGAACTCGCTCCGCAGCAGCTTGTTCTCGGCAGAGTTCGTGCTCAGGTGGATCTGTCGTTGGATCACTTCGGGAAGATGCAGCATCCCGTCTAAAGTCTCCTCCGTCACCACGGGACTTCCTGTGTCTGCAGGAAAACAGAGGAGAGCAGAGAGAGTCAGGGTGACATTTCAGGCCATCTAAATATCAATGATTTGAGAAAAGCAGAATTTTGGATATTCAAGGTGGCAGTTTTCTCTGTTTGTGACAAAAAAAAGTAGTCATTGTCTCCGTGAAACAGTTGGGAGACAAGTTTTACCAGATGAAAATATTTGGCAGGTTTTGTCTATCTCTCACAACAGATTTAAAAAAGTTCATTTCTAAAAATAGTTGGTCTAAAATCGGCAGAAAAGCACCTTTTAAAATATATCCTAGCCAAAAGACAGACATTGCATTCATTTGACATAACTTAGAGATATTTAAGGTGGCAGTTTTTCTGAGTGCATGTGTCAGTATTGTGCTTTTACTTATAAAAGAAAGTTAACACCAAAACAAACTAACTCCAATGCAGCAAAGAGGAGACATTTTCCATATCCTTTATATATATTTTTCAATTTACCTTCAGCTGGTTCCATCTCATCGTCAGAACTGAACGTGGAGAAAAAGAAAAACGGCACAAATGAATTTCAAAACACATTGATTTGATATGGATCTACATGATTTCTTAAAAGTGGTCCGCCACATTTAATTCTTAGGTAGGACCCTTCAAACGTAACTAATAACTGTTACAAAGTCAGGTTTCCAATATGGTTGATCTTTTGACAACCACCTCTCAAAAGCTCTGGATGTACACAACAAATTGTAAAATAAAATCAGCTTTGTTATTTTGAAAACAAGCATTTCTTATTTCTTCTGTCATTTCTAGATTATGCCACTATGATATTCAAGACATGTGTCCCCTCTTCTTCATGTCTCTTCTACATCAACATGTGTCCCCTCTTCTTCATGTCTCTTCTACGTCAACATGTGTCCCCTCTTCTTCATGTCTCTTCTACAATCAACATGTGTCCCCTCTTCTTCATGTCTCTTCTACATCAACATGTGTCCCCTCTTCTTCATGTCTCTTCTACATCAACATGTGTCCCCTCTTCTTCATGTCTCTTCTTCATCAACATGTGTCCCCTCTTCTTCATGTCTCTTCTACATCAACATGTGTCCCTTCTTCTTCATGTCTCTTCTACATCAACATGTGTCCCCTCTTCTTCATGTCTCTTCTACATCAACATGTGTCCCCTCTTCTTCATGTCTCTTCTACATCAACATGTGTCCCCTCTTCTCCATGTCTCTTCTACATCAACATGTGTCCCCTCTTCTTCATGTCTCTTCTACATCAACATGTGTCCCCTCTTCTCCATGTCTCTTCTACATCAACATGTGTCCCCTCTTCTTCATGTCTCTTCTACATCAACATGTGTCCCCTCTTCTCCATGTCTCTTCTACATCAACATGTGTCCCCTCTTCTTCATGTCTCTTCTACATCAACATGTGTCCCCTCTTCTTCATGTCTCTTCTACATCAACACGTGTCCCCTCTTCTTCATGTCTCTTCTACATCAACATGTGTCCCCTCTTCTTCATGTCTCCTCTACATCAACATGTGTCCCCTCTTCTTCATGTCTCTTCTACATCAACATGTGTCCCCTCTTCTTCATGTCTCTTCTTCATCAACATGTGTCCCCTCTTCTTCATGTCTCTTCTACATCAACATGTGTCCCCTCTTCTTCATGTCTCTTCTACATCAACATGTGTCCCCTCTTCTTCATGTCTCTTCTACATCAACATGTGTCCCCTCTTCTTCATGTCTCTTCTACATCAACATGTGTCCCCTCTTCTTCATGTCTCTTCTACATCAACATGTGTCCCCTTCTTCATGTCTCTTCTACATCAACATGTGTCCCCTCTTCTTCATGTCTCTTCTACATCAACATGTGTCCCCTCTTCTTCATGTCTCTTCTACATCAACATGTGTCCCCTCTTCTTCATGTCTCTTCTACATCAACATGTGTCCCCTCTTCTTCATGTCTCCTCTACATCAACATGTGTCTCCTCTGTGGAAAGAGACTCTGTAAGTTTCAGGAACAAAGATTCTCTCTCTCTTTGATCCATTTCTATAAAAACCTGTCTGAAAATGAGCTGATCAGATTTTGGCCACTTAATGATGTCATAACGATGTTTTGTCTTGTGTAACCATTAGCCAATCAGCAACCAAGGTAACCCCCCCCCCTTATCACCTGAATCTCCTCCTAGAGCAACATTGAGTTCTTTGTAACCAAGTCTCTCTCAGAGGGGCGTGGGGAGGGGCTCCTTATTTTCATCTAAAGTAACAGACAGAGAATCAGCACTTTGGAAACAGGGCTGAAACAGAGGGGATTATGGGTAATGCTGCAATGATCTGTTTGGTGTTTCAGCCTATCAGAGACAGGTTCTGTATATATCTGAGACCTGTGAGATATTAATGAAAAACAGTACAATAGGGGACCTTTAAGTATAGTGTTTCTTGTTAAAACATATTTAATTATAGGTTTTGCAGCTCTAAGATCTGCGGGGTCTTACTCTGGGTGGAAGTAGGCGTAGCACTGGTCACAGACCCGGACCTCCTCTTCTCCCGGACATCCTGCCACCGGCATCTTGTGCTCCGAGCAGGCGTGACAAACCAGACGGCCGCACCGGCGACAGTGATGCCGTCTGTTGAACTGGAAAAGCAAAAGACAAATAGTGATTATTTACTGATTCATTTCACACTTGGAAACCCAGACAGGGTGATCTATTTGTTGTGTTATCAAAAACAAATGCTCTCCTTTGTTTCCGAGTTAAAAACTGATGAGAAAAAAATGCCCTCTTTGAAACTGGTGGGAAAAAGGTTTTACTTAAATGGTCAAAATATAAGTTTTCCAGGATAATTTTAGCAATTTTTTATTTTCTGTGAACATTTGTCGTCAGGAGAATCTTTAAAAATATGAATAAAAGCGTCAGATTTCAACCAATTTAAAGGTCACCTATCCTGCTACTTTTAGGCAATAGCATAGGTCTCAGATATATACAAATATATAAAAAACATGTCTATGAAGTGTTTTGCTCAAAATACCAAACAGATCATTCTAGCTATGCCTCATATCCCTCTATTTCACTTCCTGTTTCAAAAGTGCTGATTTGGAGATAAAGCTTTAAAAATAAATAAAAAGGAGGGTCTGAGCTCATGCGGGACCCGGCAGCTACTGTCTAACTAAATGCTGCCGTGATGAAACGCCATATCATGGATCATCAAGGATTCTCTCTGAAACAGTCTGGAGCTCAAAGGCTTTCTCTCTTGCCGGTTATACCACAAGGTGAGTTCCTTTTTACTTCCTGCTTCTTCACACACATGCTCTCCCGTACAGGTTAGCTCTGAGTGTTAGCGATGCTAATGTAAACACCGACCATATTACGTCCAAAACAGTCAGGCATTGTTTCTGATAGCAACGTTTCTGATTGGCCCGTGGGTCCACATTTCAGATATTACGTCATATCGGATGCAAATCTGGATCAGCTCCGTTGTTCCCCGTTTTTAGAGATTTGGGTATGGAGGAAAAGAGAGAGGGTTTTATTTTCTGACGCTGCGTGAGTTCCCTGACACACCGGGGACACATGTGTATGTATAAAAGACATCAAAAAGTGCATTTTGCATGATAGGTCCCCTTTAAATACATTTCTAGCAACAAAAAAAAGGTAAATAATGGTATAAAAAGAAACCTTTCCACTTTAAAATGTCATAAACCACTAGACTTATGTTATATATATGTTGTGTACTTATATTATCCAAAATATGTCCAACAACTTTTAGAGAAATGTGGGATTTTCAATCAGAGATAGATTACTTTTCATTTAGTCTCCTGTAATGGCGTTGTTTCCCCTTTGAGCTTTTTAAAAATGGATCATTAGAATATTTTGTCTCACTTGAGTTTTTGTACATTTTAGGTTTTTTCACCGTTTTGTTTTATAACTTATATGGTGATGCAATATTATCACATTTCCCATTTCTGCACAATAATAAACACTCAAAGGAAATAGGGTGATTTAAGGTAAGATATTTATAATTTATCCCCATGGGGAGATTTGTTTTGTACTTCTAGATATTTATAGTTTTGCCCGCTCACCATGGTGAACCTCTCCCTCTGGCAGACCATGCACAGGAGCTGCTTGGTGTCGGGGACCCAGTCTCTCCGGGCCGGGGGTTGTTCTGGAGGCTGGAACTTTGCAGAGGATCGATGTTTCTTCCCCGCGGAGCTGCGGTCCTTCTCCCTGTCGCTGCTGTTAGAGGAGAGCGTGTGTGTGGGGGTGCTGGCTGTGACACAACACAGGAGAAGGAAACAATCAGGAAAACCAAGAGGAACACAAGTTTAAAGAAATATTCAGCACCTGAACGAACCGTCTCTAAATTTAAACAATAACACAAGAGTTTGCGGGCGTAGGAGGAGAAAGAGGAGAATCATCAATAGAGAGGCGAAGTCCCTCCCTTTCCGGGCTCCTGGAAGGCCCTGGGACCTTACTTCGGAAAAAGTATGCATTGAAGTCAATGGAGAGAGAAAGATTATCTTTCGATCCCGTTTGAATTGTGCCACGAATTACACATATGATGTTTGTCAATTTAAAAGATAATTTTGTCAAAGTAAAAAAAAATAAAACGTGTCGTAAAACTGTGAAGTAAGACTTTTGTTTGTGAAACCGCTCAATGAACTACATCTCCCGTCTCGCTCCACACACCAAGACGGCCGTCACGTTGAAACATTTCACTTCTTTCTCTCAGAATGAGGCGGAAAGTATTAAAAGAGGTGAAAATCACTCCAAGTCTGGGCACGTTGAGAGCTGTGCACACACACAAGGGGAGTTAGTCGGTTCCTAAGAGCCAGCATGCGGGACCGGGACTCTGGGATTTGTAGTCTTTCTAGTTGCGTATTTTTCATAGTCTTATATTTCAACAGTTTTACGACAAACTGTGACTTTTTTGACTTGAAAATAATTTTTTTAAGATTGACAAACATCGTATGTGTAATTCGTGGCACAATTCAAACGGGATCGAAAGATAATCTTTCTCTCTCCATCGACTTCAATACATAGTTTTTCCGAAATAAGGTCCCATGGGGCGGAAGCAGATGGGCGGGACTTCGCCTCTCTATACAGATTTCTCTTCTCCTTTGATTAAAGGCGGTGAAAGCGGTAAATAAAGCACTTTCAATTTATATGGAAATACGCAACTGGAATAAAATAAATGTTTTAGATATGTCTGTACCTGTAGAAGGTGTTGGGGATTCGATCCTGCTGGAGGATAGGGAGCTGCTGTCCTGAGCCGGACACTGCATCAGAGAGTCCTGCAGGCTGATCACTGAGTCTGGAAAACAAGCAAATATTTAGAAAAAAAAGCAGCTGAAAGACATAACAGTAGTGACACAGATGTATAATGAATGTGTAATTTGTACTGCACATCGCTTATGCACATTTGAAATGTATATTGTATCTTTACTGCGGTTTTACCAATTAAATGACCAGTGTAACGTGTGAAATAGGCCGTAACCTGTACGCAAATATGGACTAATATCAGTAGCATCATGACCTGTAACTCGCAAAATAATAAGTGTAGTATTTGTGCTGAATATTGTTTGTGTGTTTTTCAGGTTAATTGCAAGCATTTCTTAGGTTTATGCTAATTGAGAGTGTTTATTGAGGCATCGCTCATTAGAACCTAGCTGAAAGCATGTGATGTGCTTGTGTTTCTGCAACTTCAAGTCAGATTGAAGAACAAAATATAATTTATTTGAATCAAATGCAATCCTTTAAGTCATTTTTTTTGTGTGCAACATTAACAAAGGTGTCTCTGCATTGGTCAGTGATCCTCAGAGATGGTGAAAGTACACACATCCTTTACTCAAGTAGAAGTACAGATACTCGTGTTTTAAAATACTCTGGTAAAAGTAGAAGTACTGACTAAACTTCTTTACTCAAGTCAAAGTAAAGAGGCTTTGAAATGTACTTCAGTAAAAAGTACCCATAACTAGCAGCTGTTTTAAAGAGTACCTGACCTCCCTTTATATTAATAGAACAATAATGTCATTGTTAGCTAATGAATGTTTCCATGCTGAACAACGGCAACATGACAACGTTTCCATTGGTCCCTCTTCTTTAGAGAAGACCAGGAAATGATGGATACACGGATCGTGTTCAAATCAATAGGCACGCAATGACTCTAAAGAATAATGATCACGCATCAAACACACATTCAGACTAAAGGAACCAGCTGTTTGGGAAATGAGAGAAGTAGAAAGTACAAGTATTTGAGTTCAACATGTAAGAAGTAGAAAGTACAGGTATTTGAGTTCAACATGTAAGAAGTAGAAAGTACAGGTATTTGAGTTCAACATGTAAGAAGTAGAAAGTACAGGTATTTGAGTTCAACATGTAAGAAGTAGAAAGTACAGGTATTTGAGTTCAACATGTAAGAAGTAGAAAGTACAGGTATTTGGGTTCAACATGTAAGAAGTAGAAAGTACAGGTATTTGGGTTCAACATGAGAGAAGTAGAAAGTACAGGTATTTGAGTTCAACATGTAAGAAGTAGAAAGTACAGGTATTTGAGTTCAACATGTAAGAAGTAGAAAGTACAGGTATTTGAGTTCAACATGTAAGAAGTAGAAAGTACAGGTATTTGGGTTCAACATGTAAGAAGTAGAAAGTACAGGTATTTGGGTTCAACATGAGAGAAGTAGAAAGTACAGGTATTTGAGTTCAACATGTAAGAAGTAGAAAGTACAGGTATTTGAGTTCAACATGTGAGAAGTAGAAAGTACAGGTATTTGAGTTCAACATGTAAGAAGTAGAAAGTACAGGTATTTGGGTTCAACATGTAAGAAGTAGAAAGTACAGGTATTTGGGTTCAACATGTAAGAAGTAGAAAGTACAGGTATTTGTGTTCAACATGTAGAAAGTAGAAAGTACAGGTATTTGAGTTCAACATGTAAGAAGTAGAAAGTACAGGTATTTGAGTTCAACATGTAAGAAGTAGAAAGTACAGGTATTTGAGTTCAACATGTAAGAAGTAGAAAGTACAGGTATTTGGGTTCAACATCTAAGAAGTAGAAAGTACAGGTATTTGTGTTCAACATGTGAGAAGTAGAAAGTACAGGTATTTGGGTTCAACATGTAAGAAGTAGAAAGTACAGGTATTTGTGTTCAACATGTAAGAAGTAGAAAGTTCAGGTATTTGAGTTCAACATGTAAGAAGTAGAAAGTACAGGTATTTGAGTTCAACATGTGAGAAGTAGAAAGTACAGGTATTTGAGTTCAACATGTAAGAAGTAGAAAGTACAGGTATTTGAGTTCAACATGTGAGAAGTAGAAAGTACAGGTATTTGTGTTCAACATGTAAGAAGTAGAAAGTACAGGTATTTGTGTTCAACATGTAAGAAGTAGAAAGTACAGGTATTTGTGTTCAACATGTAAGAAGTAGAAAGTACAGGTATTTGAGTTCAACATGTGAGAAGTAGAAAGTACAGGTATTTGTGTTCAACATGTAAGAAGTAGAAAGTACAGGTATTTTAGTTCAACATGTGAGAAGTAGAAAGTACAGGTATTTGGGTTCAACATGTAAGAAGTAGAAAGTACAGGTATTTGTGTTCAACATGTAAGAAGTAGAAAGTACAGGTATTTGTGTTCAACATGTAAGAAGTAGAAAGTACAGGTATTTGTGCTCAACATGTAAGAAGTAGAAAGTACAGGTATTTGGGTTCAAAATGTAAGAAGTAAAAGTAAAAAGTCGTCAGAAAAATAAGTAGTGGAGTAAAGTACTGATACCAGGACAATGTACTTACAGTAAGTACAGCAACGAAGTATTTGTACTCCACTACTTCCCACCTCACTATAATCACCCACCTGAGCGGCTCCTCTCTCTGGGAGCGCAGGAGAAGTCGAGCGCCTTGCCGCCGTATTCTGCCAGAAGTTTATCGATGTCCTCTGAGCTGAAGCCGGCCTCCTGACCAATCACGAGGCTGCGCAGCGTTCGCACCGCCACCTCCGCCCAGTCCACCTTCAGGTTCATCAGCAGCTGCTCCAGCATCAGCAGCGGCTCCGACAGCAGCGGGAAGTAATCCTGCCGGGCGGACGAGGGCAGCGTCAGCAACACCTGCAGGGTAACACACATCCAGAGACATTAACGCTTATTTTATTGCCATTGAGATGTTGACATTTTTAAATGTTTATTTCTAGACTTTACATTTGTACTGTACAATGTCATGTCTTTTTATGCTGCTGCAACATAAACATTTCCCAACATGGGATCAATAAAGTACTTCTTATCTTAACATGAAGATGTGTGAAAACAATGCTTCAACAGCATCATATGCAAAAAATCTGCATTCAAATGTTTAAAGAGGATTAATATTACATTACATGTTACTTGTTAGACGCTTTTATCCAAAGCGACTTACTCAATACTGTGGACAATCCCCACAGGAGCAATTTGGGTCTCAGGGACACAACGACATGCTGACTGCAGTGGGGTTTGAACCCGTGGCCTCCCTTAATATATATATATATCTCCTTTATTTAACCAGGTAAAAACATCTCATTGAGATTAGAATCTCGACCTGGCCAAGAAGGGCAGCATGAACAAAGTTACAACGGATAAAACACAAACAATACAGGCAGACGAAATATATTCGTATATTGTATACTACAAATATTGATCTTCTATTGGAATTAAGTGGACATAGAGAAGAGGCAGCAGTGATGAAGTTTACATGTTCTTAAATTATTTATATATTAAACAATTGAAATACTGATTTAAAGAAATGATAGTGTGTAACTTGACCACAGACCTTGGAGCCCAGATGCAGGGCGTGGATGTGGCGTCTTCGTGCCGGAGACACCTGCCTCTGGAAGTGCAGAGTGAGGAAGTCGGCCAGGAAGTGACATGCAGGCAGACCGGGGCGGAGGTCCAGAGCTCGCTCACACACATCCAGACCCAACGCAGAGTCCGAGAGGCCCTCCAGCAACTGAAAAACAAAGAGTGAGGGAGAAAGGAAGGAGAGAGAACAGTGTTTTTGACACATTTGTACACGCTTTACAACATCAGGAAGATACGTCCCCAGCTGACCCAGAAAGCGACTCAGGTTCTGGTCCAGGCTCTCACGCCTAGACTACTGCAACTCCCTCCTGGCTGGTCTACCTGCATGTGCCATCCGACCTCTGCAGCTCATCCAGAATGCAGCGGCTCGTCTGGTCTTCAACCTTCCTAAATTCTCCCACACCACTCCGCTCCTCCGCTCCCTTCACTGGCTTCCGGTAACTGCTAGAATCCACTTCAAGACACTGGTACTTGCGTACCATGCTGCGAATGGATCTGGCCCTTCCTACATCCAGGACATGGTTAAACCGTACACCCCAGCACGTGCACTACGCTCTGCATCAGCCAAACGGCTCGCTGCACCCTCGCTGCGAGGGGGACCCAAGTTCCCATCAGCAAAAACACGTGGGTTTGCTATCCTGGCTCCAAGATGGTGGAATGAGCTCCCCATTGACATCAGGACGGCAGATAGCTTGCACATCTTCCGGCGCAGACTGAAAATCATCTCTTTCGACTCCACTTCGAGCGATAGAATTATTAACAAAGCACTTTTATACTAATAAAGGACTGGCTTACCTAAAGCCAGTTGAGTAGCACTTGAAATGTTTTTGCTCTATGAAACCTGATGTACTTATATGATTCTGTTTTCTTCAAGTTTGTATTTTGTTGGTCGAACGCACTTATTGTAAGTCGCTTTGGATAAAAGCGTCAGCTAAATGCAATTTAATGTAATGTAATTTGTGTTTTTATATTTGCACAGATTTTTTAACTGCAGCGCATTTTCATCCCACAATAAGAATGTTAAACACCTGAACTTTAGAAATAACATCCATAACATTCCTCTGTTTGCAACTTACATAAATATCAATATTCCAATTACTGTATAGAGACTATTCTGCACTGTTTCTATTATATTCTGTTTTATTGTTGTTGCACTGTTGGAGGAGCCTGTGACCTCAGATGTTCATTGACATATCTACACTGCAGCTTTGATCACATGACAATAAAAGCCTTGAATCTTTTAGACTAATGGACGTGTTGTGGGCTGCAATGCATTTGCACCTGTCACCGTACTTTCTCGTATCGTATAATCAAAGTCTTTATCGTATCGTATAATTATCATCATTGTGTCGAGTTATTTAGGATCTGAATTTAAGAGGACATGAAGCAGTGTTGACCTGGAAAGCTTCATCCGTCTGTCCCTTCTCCAGCAGGTGAAGTAAATGCTCCGTCTGAAGCTTCAGTTTCAGCCGATCAGAAACAGGATAGAGATCCACCCACTGAGCACACAGAGCAAACTCCTGCAGAAAATAAAGACAAGAGAAATCCCATGACAGTATATTGTATAGACACAACACACTACAGGTAAGGCAACACCACAACGGCACAATACATGAGTAACACATGCGTCACTTCCGGGCAAAAAGTACGTCTCCGCCCACTTTTGGGGGAAAACAAAGCTGTCATTTGAACGGCGGTCAATACAGATTCTGAAGTTTTTGCCAATCCGATCAGAAATGTAAGAAAACTGTGGATTTGTGGATCTTCAAAGAGCTCGATCACGATGGCCAGACAGGCAAACATTACATTAACTCATTGGAAATCGACGAGCGGGCTCGATATATGGTTAAATATAGCAGTAGGCGATCGATGTCCATAGATGAGAGTAACATCTACGTCACTTTACGGCCCCGCCCACTTTTGGGGGAAACCAACGCTGTCATTTGAACGGCGATGAAGCCTGAAGCCACAGAGATCTTCTGTTTCCGTCCTTTCTTCTTAGAGGAAATCCAGAAACACTGAACTCTGGATTTGTTTTAATGTTTGAGGTGCAATAAACGACACAGCAGCTTGTTGGCATGATACAACTATTATTTTCCGCCTCGCTCATGAGAGTAACAGCCGGAGAAATTACAGCCTCGCCTACTGATTTTAATTGAACCATATATCGAGCCCGATCGTCGATTTCCAATGATTTAATGTAATTGTTTGATTGATTGATTGTTGATTGGCCATCGTGATCGGGCTCTTTGAAGTTCAGAAAATCCACGGTTTTCAAACATTTCTGATCGGATTGGCAAAAACTTCAGAATTTGTATTGACCGCCGTTCAAATGACAGCTTTGTTTTCCCCCAAAAGTGGGCGGGGCCGTAATTTTCGCCCGGAGGTGACGTAGGTGTTACTCTCATCTATAGGGCCTCTTTAATATCACCACAATTACAAAAATAAATGACAGTAACATTTGGTACAGTAAAATTATGATGATATGTGTATGTCTCTTAATGTCCACTATGTTTGTATATGTACATGTATGCGGAACTGCGGGACGGAGTCCAGAACAAATGTCCTTACGGGGACAATAAAGTATATCGTATCGTAAATTAAGTGCTAAGATCTTGTCTGACATAATACGATGTGAGATTGTTTGTGACATAAGGTGAGCTGAACCTACTTTAGCCTCCATCATCTTAGATAAAATGGTCTCAGAGTTTGTCTTGGACTCGGTCTTCAGCTCCTGCCAGGTCGCCCACGGCAGAGGAGGCTTCAAATTCAACATCTGTGACAAGAGAAGAAGAAACTTGGCAAGATGCACATTTACATTTTTTACACTGAAGAGTTGAAGTCATGCCAAACAAGACAAAACATGTGCTGCATCTCAAACTCACAATACAGGATAAACAAAGATTATAGTGTTTTAAAAAGTACTGACAGTTACACAAACTCACCTTAATGATGATTAAAGAGACAAGCGTGTGAGTTAGTGAATGGGTTTCTCCCCCCCACTTTACCCCTCAACATTTTTCTTCTCTCAACACACTTCAGCTCTTAATTTGATAATAAACAACTGTATTTATAAAGCACCTTTCATGCTTGACGCAGCCCAAAGTGCTTTACAGAGTATGACTTCAAATGGGAGGCTTTTCCACAGCTTGGGGCGATATAAAAACAGAAAGCTGCCTCCCCAGTTTTCTTGTAATGCACTTTAAATGTACCCATTTATAGATGTCCAGTTGTTTCTTCTTGAGCTCCAGGTCGTTCCTCAGCGAGGCCTCGGTGTCGGGGTCGTTGAGGCAGAAGTCGAGCAGCTCGAGGCAGGCGGACAGAGGCCAGCGATGAAGAGCCTGCAGGGCAACTCGAGCTCTCAGATCTGCATCCTGCACCCGGAACAGCTGACTTATCCCTGCATCTCCATCTGAGCATAGAGACAAAGGTATACAAACATGTTAGTTACATTAAAAGTAATTATGCAATTGTATTAAAGGTCACCTATTATGCAAAATCCACTTGTTCACGTCTCTTCTACATCAACATGTGTCCCCTCTTCTTCATGTCTCTTCTACATCAACATGTGTCCCCTCTTCTTCATGTCTCTTCTACATCAACATGTGTCCCCTCTTCTTCATGTCTCTTCTACATCAACATGTGTCCCCTCTTCTTCATGTCTCTTCTACATCAACATGTGTCCCCTCTTCTTCATGTCTCTTCTACATCAACATGTGTCCCCTCTTCTTCATGTCTCTTCTACATCAACATGTGTCCCCTCTTCTTCATGTCTCTTCTACATCAACATGTGTCCCCTCTTCTTCATGTCTCTTCTACATCAACATGTGTCCCCTCTTCTTCATGTCTCTTCTACATCAACATGTGTCCCCTTTTCCTCATGTCTCTTCTACATCAACATGTGTCCCCTCTGTGGAAAGAGACTCTGAAAGTTTCAGGAACAAATATTCTCTCTCTTTTTGTCCTGATCCAGTTTTATAAAAACCTGTCTGAAAATGAGCTGATCAGATTTTGGCCACTTTATGCTTGTGTAACCATTAGCCAATCAGCAACCAAGGTAACCCCCCCCCCCCTTATCACCTTAATCTCCTCCTAGAGCACCATTGTGTTCCTTTTAGGGATGCTCCGATCGATCGGCCGACGATCGTTATCGGCCGATATTCACTCTCTGCCGATCGATCGGTGCTCTCTATAAAGGCCGATCAGGAGAGCCGATCACATGACGTAAAATACATGACACTTTTCTCTGTGCGGCAAAACAAGCTCGCCAAAATGGCTTCACCGGTCTGGCAGTATGTTAAGGTGTCCGAAAATATCAATAAAATAGCGGTATGCAACGTGTGTGAAGCAGAAATCCTGCAGCTCCGCCCGCTGTGACGGACCGGTGAGCGGAGCAGAACACACACTAAGAGTTAGACCTAACTGTGACGACGATTATGTTGGTTGTCGTTTGTGGAAGCTCCAGTAACTGAGTTTTAAACATCACTTTAAATGGAAGATCCCCATAGGCCACGCCCACTCGATCGGATCGGCCGATACTGATTCTGGCGATCGGCCCCAAAATTGGCGATCGGAGCATCCCTAGTTCTTTGTAACCAAATGTCTCTCAGAGGGGCGTGGGGAGGGGCTCCTTATTTTCATCTAAAGTAACAGACAGAGAATCAGCACTTTGGAAACAGGGCTGAAACAGAGGGGATTATGGGATGCTGCAATGATCTGTTTGGTGTTTCAGCCAATCAGAGACATGCTCTGTATATATCTGAGACCTGGGATATATTGATGAAGAACAGTATAATAGGCGACCTTTAAGGAATCCACATTACTTTTATCCTATTTGCTATAACTGTCGCTATGTCCTGACAGTAGAGGAAACATTTTCTTTTTTGTAGACTATTTGTCATTTGAAGGATACAACAGTTTAGCAAATTTGATAACAATCTATTAGTTACTATAATCATAACAATCCCACATGTCATTTATAAAGGTTTCGAACTGAGCCTTAAATATGCAGAAAAGTTGAATTTTTAATATTTACAATATTTTCTTCCTTTAATACATACGTTTTATTGCTTATATACCTTGTTGTTTAATATAAATAATTTTTTAAATATTATTATTTTGTACTATTTTGTGTTTTTGTATGGATTTCTTTAAATTTAGTTTTTTATTTTGCCATCATATCCTATCCACCTTTAAATCAGAATATTTGTTAACTGTATTTTTGAAGTGCAGACTCCCAACAAAAGTATTTCACATGCCTGCACTCGTATAACTGTATACAGACTTTTTGCACTACTTTGTATTTTTGTATTCTATTATATATGTTGCATTGTGGGAGGAGCTCAGGTCAGAAGAATGTCATTGCCATTTCTACACTGTAGCTTTGTGCACATGACAATAAAACCTTTGAATCTTGAATCTTGCTTGTCTCACCCTCTAAGGCGGCGCAGGCGAGCAGGCGGTCCCTCAGCGCCCCCTGCTGGCTGCAGCGCTGCCCGTACAGCTCCAGCAGGCTGAGAGCTCGGCTCAGGTCTCGGGAGGAGAGAGATTTCTGGAAGGCTTCCGCTGCCAGAGCCTGGAAAACTTCCTCCTGAGGCCCCGACAGCAGCAGACTGACCAGGGGTTTCCCACAGAGAAGCGCCCCCAGTCCTGCACTGTCCTCACCTTCATTACCCAGGGAAGGGGAAGAAGAAGAAGAATCAGGTTTATTACCAGTTAGGTTCACACGTACAAGGAATTTCACTAGGTGCATACATAAACATATATATTTTTTTAAATAACACAGATCAGGGTATATGCAGGAATCCTGAAGTCACATGTAAGACCTTTTAAGACCTTTTTTAAGACCCTTTCCATACATTTTAAGACCTCATCGCCACTTGGAGTTTTAACCGGTTACCTTGGCGACACACTTTACCTCACATTGACTATATACAGAATTGATTGTCCTTCCTCCTTATCTTCCAACCATTTGGACGCAGACTTGCATTTCCCCATAACGATGTTGTTTAACAACCGGCGTAAACGGACCTTCGCGCTATCAAGCAGTGAGCGTGCGATGTCCTGTTCAGATGACGTCAAATCCAACGGGATGCCATCAATAAACTACAGAATCACACTACACACCTACGCCATGATTACATTCAGGCCGACTGTAGAATACAACCTCTTTGGACCATTTATATACTTATTGAAAACAAGCTACAAAATGTAATACCTTGGAAAATGCCGTTTAATACTTTTTAATAGCCTTCATTTTCTCACCTCTTCAATCTGGCTTTTAATGTGTGATTGTTTTTGTATTATTTGACTTTAACTTTAACTATATATTTATTTGTTGTTCCTTTCTTTTCTCTTCACTATATCTGTAAAGCGTCTTTGAGCACCTGTAAAAGCGCTAACAAATTAAATGTATTATTATTATTATTAATTTTCGCTTTTAATACTTTTTAAGACCCCGCGGACCCCCTGCAGATAGCAAACTATATTAAGAACACTGTAATAAAAAGATAGCAATACAATAAAGCAGTCATTTACATTGAAATAGAATGCTAGCGATATTGTCAACATTGTGTGCATTAATGTAATAAAGCAGAAGACATTCACTCACTATTTGTTTTAACCGCCCCTAGTCCTACACTGTCCTCACCTTCATTACCCAGGGAGCCCAGCAGGGGTTCAGCCATGGTATGGAGGTACGCCTGGAGGATTGGGAACTCCTTCAGGAGGGCGTCTGCTTCCCGGGAAATCTGCTCTCCATCTAGCACGACTTCTTTCCGGTTGCTGCGGAAATAACCCGACCATCCGGAGGGTTGTGATCGAGCCGTTTCTCCTTTACAGGCGCTCAGACACGCCAAGGTCGCCAGTAGTGGGGAGCGGGACTTTAGGAAAGACAGGGCTGATGGTGTGAGGAGGAAGGAGCTTGCGGTGGAGGAGGAAGAGGAGGAGGAGGAGGAAGAAGAAGGAGGTGAGGTGGAGAGGTTAGTGGGTGCAGAGGAAGGCTCTTCCACTGAGGCATCAGACTCAGAGCTGGCGTCAGACTGAGTTTCTGTGATTCCCAGAGTGGACATGTGCTCCTGAGCGTGCTGCTGGAGAAGGAGTGATAAATTAGCGACTCCAAACACTCCACCGTCTTTGTTTTGGGGACTGGAGACATCCCTGGAGCTGGAGACCCACACAGGAAGAGCCTCACAGCATCTCTGCACGATCACCTGCTGGACGCTCAGACGCAGACGCTCCTGCTGCAGCAAGGACAGAACTCTGCAGGAGACACAGGAGGGGACATATTAAAGTCAGATGCTGCCTTCACACCACCCCTAAACGTTTCATTCATCAAGTTGTTTGTCTTATTTTCCTCTTCACAGTTTGTCTGGCTTTTGTTTAGGCTGCTGTGTAACATTGTGTCCACCAAGCTCCTCCTAAGACTTCTTTAAATTCAAAAGGTTTTATTGTCATAAGCTACAGTGTAGAAATGGCAATGAAATTCTTCTGACCTGAGCTCCTCCAACAATGCAACATATATAATAAAATACAAAATAGTGCAAGAAGTCTATATACATGTAAATAGAATGTGTTATGTACAACAGTGTTTCTCAAACTTTTTCATACCAAGGACCACTTAACCAATAAAAAAACACTCGCGGACCACCTAACTCCACAAATATCCAAAATCACATCGTTTTTCTAGAACAGATTACAAATCGCCTGAAAACGGTACAAACAAGTGGCAACATGTGTGATGAAGGTGTTGCACTGGGCTATATCATGCAATCGAAAGTGAAACTTAAGCTCGCTCTATTGCGGAGATATTCCCGTGAGAGTGCGGAAAACTTAAATGTATTTATTTATTTCAAATGTGAAATGTTACCAATATACTCACGGACCACTAGGGGGCACTCCCGGGCCACCAGTGGTCCGCGGACCACACTTTGAGAAGCACCGATGTACAAGAACAGAATATGAAATTAAATAATGTACATTAAGACAATTATATAAATAAAAAATCTGTTCTTTTCCCATGTTTAACAACATCGCTTTAGTTATACATCATGCAGAGATGTTTCTTTATACTATATATTGACACCTCCATAAAAGATTAAGAGACAAGTTATACTCTGACTGTTTGTACCTGTCCGGAGACACCTGTCTGTCAAACAGCAGGTGGGAGAAAAGCTGGAACGGGGTCTGAAGCAACACCAGCAGAGGATTCCCCAGCTTCACTTCACTGCTCTGATCTGAAGGGAACAGCAAGAGACGAACATCAGCACACAACAGGTAGATGAAGACGAGGAGCATTAGTATTTAGGCTGACGTTTGGTATAAAAAGGGACTGAGATGGTGAGGTCAAGAAAGTAGCAAGATTTATTTTAAAAATAGCAGAATGCACTTAAACTGCTTAAAGAGCTGTTCAAAGTTGCATAAGAATCTCAAAACTGTTTTTTTCTTCTTTTTAAATAGCATTACTTAAAGGTCCCATGTCATGGCCATTTCTAATGATCATAATTCCATTGTTGAGGTCTACTCAAATAAATGTACATTGTGCAATGTTCCACACTCACATTGGTTTCTCATACAGCATCTCTATAGTATGTGTATTCACTCTGTCCTAAACGGCTTGTTGGAGCTCCTGCCCCCCCCCCCCCTCCCTGTGAGCCCAGTGGCCGTCTGCGAGACACAACGAAACCCAGCCCGAAACACACACACACCCGCAGTCTGGCTGGGAGTTTGTGTGTGTGCCCAGGCTGAGTTCCGCGGTGTCTCGCCGACCCCACACCAGTGAGCCGGCTCACGGTGTCCCGCTCCTCGCAGCAGCGAGCCTCGCAACGCCCCGCCGAGTGTGTGTGTGTGAGGAAGTCCGCGGATTGGTCCAAACGTAACGGCTCCGTGGCCGGTACGTTACGTCACTACACCCGAAATACGTCGCCAGACCCAAGAAGTAAACAATGGAAAAAGATAAATGTCTAACGAGGCGTTCTGGGGCAGCACAGACAGGTATTTTCTGTGTTAGAGTTTTACTCGCTACAGGGTGTACTTTGAGGGTTTGTGACTGCAGACCGTTTACATGCAGAAAAACCTTCATAACACAAGGGGACGGGTAATAACCGGAAAAGCATGACATGGGACCTTTAAAAGAGACTCAAAAGCTACAGCGTATAAGGCCCATTTTAGGTTAATAAAACATTTATTAGCCAGAATTTTGAATTTCCAAGATAAAAGTTGAACATTTATGAGAAAATCTAACTTGAATATGCGTTCAAATAAATTGTTTTTTATTTTATTTTGTAGTGTGATGAGGTTCAACCAGCCAAGTGTGTAACTTTAACCCTCCTGTTATCCTCAGATTTACCTTACCCTTCATCCTCGGGGGTCAATTTGACCACAGTAGTTTAAAACTCAAGAAAACAAGTACATTTAACCAAAGTGTATGTTTCTGGTGCTTTAGGTGTCTTAGTTAAATAACCATTTAAATAAAACATTACCCCAACCTCCCCCCCCCCTACAGACCCCTTTATACATCCAGAATTCGTATTATGTGACTATCGACAAATATATAAATGACCATAAAATCTCACTGATTGAAATAAAATGTTAAAGTAACGTCTTTTTGCAGTTGTTAAAGGACCAATATTGTTTCCAAATACAATTTTGGCATTAAACGTGTATGGATCACATTTTTTCTTGTACATTTGTGACATTTTTCTCCAAGAATTTCTGAGTTTCATTTTTGTACAACCTCAGAGAATGCCAAATAATTTTTTTCAGAATACTACCCCCATTCTCAAACATAATTCATTACCTACAATGTACCTCATACGCACAACATCTATCCTAAATGGCACATTACTTCACCTTCTGATCCGAGGCTGCGCACCAACACAGACGCCAGCGTGTTGACGTAGTCGAGGAAACTTCTCACGTAGTCGGGTCTGGCTGGATCTCCGTCGGGCTCGAAGGGGCAGAGCTGGTCCAGAGAGCGGAGAAGCTGCTTCATGCTGCAGCGAACAGGGTGATTATCCAGCTCCGCCTGCTTCAGACCCGCCTGCTCTACCAGCTGAGCCAGGAGAGCGCTACCCACAATGCCCTCTGTCAATACAAGACGTAACATTAATCATAGGCAAGGCAAGTTTGTTTATATAGCGCCTTTCAACACAAGGCAATTCAAAGTGCTTTACAAAAAAAATACCTTGGTTTCTGATTGGCTAATGGTTACACAAGACCAAACATCGTTATGACATCATAAAGTGGCCAAAATCTGATCAGCTCATTTTCAGACAGGTTTTTATAGAAATGGATCAAAAAGAGAGAGAATCTTTGTTCCTGAAACTTTCAGAGTCTCTTTCCACAGAGGGGACACATGTTGATGTAGAAGAGACATGAGAAGAGGGGACACATGTTGATGTAGAGACATGAAGAGAGGGGACACATGTTGATGTAAGAAGAGACATGGAGAAGAGGGGACACATGTTGATGTAAGAAGAGACATGAAGAAGAGGGGACACATGTTGATGTAGAAGAGACATGGAGAAGAGGGGACACATGTTGATGTAGAAGAGACATGATGAAGAGGGGACACATGTTGATGTAGAGAGACATGAAGAAGAGGGGACACATGTTGATGTAGAGACGACATGAAGAAGAGCGGACACATGTTGATGTAGAAGAGACATTGAAGAAGAGGGGACACATGTTGATGTAGAAGAGACATGAAGAAGAGGAGACACATGTTGATGTAGAAGAGACATGAAGAGAGGGGACACTGTTGATGTAGAAGAGACATGAAGAAGAGGGACACATGTTGATGTAGAAGAGACATGAAGAAGAGGGGACACATGTTGATGTGGAAGAGACATGAAGAAGAGGGGACACATGTTGATTGTAGAAGAGACATGAAAAGAGGGGACACATGTTGATGTGGAAGAGACATGAAGAAGAGGGGACACATGTTGATGTAGAAGAGACATGAAGAAGAGGGGACACATGTTGAGTAGAAGAGACATGAAGAAGAGGGGACACATGTTGATGTGGAAGAGACATGAAGAAGAGGGGACACATGTGATGGTAGAAGAGACATGAAGAAGAGGGAGACACATGTTGATGTAGAAGAGACATGAAGAAGAGGGACACATGTTGAGTAGAGAGACATGGAAGAAGAGGGAGACACATGTTGATTGTAGAAGAGACATGAAGAAGAGGGGACACATGTTGATGTAGAAGAGACATGAAGAAGAGGGGACACATGTTGATGTACATGAAGAAGAGGGGACACATGTTGATGAAGAAGAGACATGAAGAAGAGACATGGATAAGAGGGGACACATGTTGATGTAGAAGAGACATGGAGAAGAGGGGACACATGTTGATGAAGAAGAGACATGAAGAAGAAGGGACACATGTTGATGTAGAAGAGACATGGAGAAGAGGGGACACATGTTGATGTAGAAGAGACATGAAGAAGAGGGGACACATGTTGATGTAGAAGAGACATGGAGAAGAGGGGACACATGTTGATGAAGAAGAGACATGAAGAAGAGGGGACACATGTTGATGTAGAAGGAGACATGGAGAAGAGGAGACACATGTTGATTGTTAGAAGAGACATGAAGAAGAGGGGACACATGTTGATGAAGAGAGACATGAAGAAGAGGGGACACATGTTGATGTAGAAGAGACATGGAGAAGAGGGGACACATGTTGATGTAGAAGAGACATGATGAAGAGGGGACACATGGTGATGTAGAAGAGACATGAAGAAGAGGGGACACATGTTGATGTAGAAGAGACATGGAGAAGAGGGGACACATGTTGATGTAGAAGAAGACATGATGAAGAGGGGACACATGTTGATGTAGAAGAGACATGGAGAAGAGGGGACACATGTTGATGTAGAAGAGACATGATGAAGAGGGGACACATGTTGATGTAGAAGAGACATGATGAAGAGGGGACACATGTTGATGTAGAAGAGACATGAAGAAGAGGGGACCTTTAAGAGTATTAAGAAATAGTGCAGCAGAAACATATTATGAAATGGCATTTAAAAACACTCGTTTAAAAGCAAAGATAATAAAACATGAATAAAAGTTACAGTGCAGTTACAGAGATTTCATAACATCCTAAGAACACTATCGGTGCTGCAGCTCTTCGATCTTACAACACATCTACTTCTGGTATTTTAAAGATATCTAAATTGTTCCTGACCGGAGAAGATAACATCATCTGTCAATCACAAACTGGAACTATGGAGAAAGTGGACTGATTTCCTAAAACCTCATAGGCCAGATTTTATTTCTACAAACGTATGATTTTACCGTGAAGTCCTGATCACTCCCTAATGTTCGTATTGTTCGTACTTTTTACTGTTTGTATTTCATCTTTGTGTAAAAAAAGAAAAAGGCATTTCGGACAGACCAACTTAAGATGTACAATTACTATGTCTTGTAATTGTTTGCTGCCAAATGTCAATAAAACATATATTACAAAAACAAAAAATAGTTGTTCCTGACCAAAACAGACTCCAGTGAAACGCATGAAAACTGTCAATGCAAAAATAACCTTTTAAATCAAAATGAAGACGACTGCTTACTGATTTTAAGACAAAGTAAAGTCACATGAATGTATTTGATGAGTTGATATTGTGCCGACCTGTGCCCTCTGTGGCCGTGCTCAAGATGTTCAGCGTCGTCTCCAAGCGCTGCGTCAGAGCGAGTCGAGCAGCGATGCATTCCTCGCTCAGCGCCGGGTAACAACTCAGCAGAACTTCCTGCGTGCTGCATCCAAACGGGCCGGAGAACACCGGGTCCTCACCAACATCTGTCAACAAGAACACATTATTCTGTGAGGTGACGAACATCTGTTTACAGCTAAAAGGTGCCATGGGGTACAGGAATTAGTTTGGTTCCCGGAGGACACCAAAAGAGTCCTAGAAAGACAAGGTAAACTAATGTGCATTTAAAAAAGTGGAATAGTTTCGGTAAAAACTAAAAAGGTTCCATGGGGTCAGATTAGAATTTTCCAAAGGGGGGTTCGTTTAGCATGAAAGCAAATTCTGAAGTTTTTGCCAATCCGATCAGAAATGTAAGAAAACCGTGGATTTGTGGATCTTCAAAGAGCCCGATCACGATGGCCAGTCAGGCAAACATTACATTAACTCATTGGAAATCGACGAGCGGGCTCGATATATGGTTAAATATAGCAGTAGGCTATCGATGTCCATAGATGAGTGTAACATCTACGTCACTTTACGGCCCCGCCCACTTTTGGGGGAAACCAAACCTGTAATTTGAATGGCGATGAAGCCTGAAGCCACAGAGCTCTTCTGTTCCGTCCTTCTTCTTAGAGGAAGTCCAGAAACACTGAACTCTGGATTTGTTTTAATGTTTGAGGTGCAATATAAACGACACAGCAGCTTGTTGGCATGTTAAAACTATTATTTTCCGCCTCGCTCATGAGAGTAACAGCTGGCGAAAATTACAGCCTCGCCTACTGATTTTAATTTAACCGTATATCGAGCCCGATCGTCGATTTCCAATGATTTAATGTAATTGTTTGCCTGACTGGCCATCGTGATCGGGCTCTTCAGATCAGAAAATCCACGGTTTTCAAACATTTCTGATCGGATTGGCAAAAACTTCAGAATTTGTATTGACCGCCATTCAAATGACAGCGTTGTTTCCTCCAAAAGTGGGCGGGGCTGTAATTTTCGCCCGGAAGTGATGTAGGTGTTACTCTCATCTATGGTTGTGCTCAAAGGGCCAGTTGTAACTTTAAGACTATATAAAATATATAATATATATGAAATAATGTATTATATTCAATTATTGGCTCTGCATTGGATTATTAGCAATTCTGGTAATAACTTGAAACTGAAAGCAAATATTCAACAATTACACCAATTGCATTGTATATTATATTCTTTGTAAGCTCTTGCGTGGCCACATCAAATGAAGGGCCTTGAGTTTGACACCACTGGTTTACAGTCCACATTTTTATACATCATTAAAACGACACACTTTCTCATCGACAAAAGAGTGTTTTATAATCACCTGATTTGCCGGAGCTCTTGTTGGTGGCGGGATGATTGAGGATCTTGTTGATCTGATGAAGCACTGTGGGAAATCCTCGGATCCCCTCAGAGTGGGGCGCCTTAGCGTCCGATCTCACTCCTGGGGAGGCAGACAAAACAAAATGTAATACCAGTGAAAACATCAGGGTTCCTATAGCTTTTCCAAAGTCAAATTAAAACAATTTCAAGATGGATTTTCAAGCTTTTCAAGGACTTTACAGCAGTGCTAAGTTACATATTTATAGACAGTTCCTACAGTAAATGCAATATAGTGTTTATTGCAAAACAAGAAAAAATGCGTCTTTGAGGAAGACAGTCAATAACCTAAATGAACCTGCAAAAACAATTAAGCGCTCTTGGATTTATTCCCTTTCTTTATCTGCATAGAAAACTATTTTCAAGCAGTTTCAAGAACTCCAGCACCCAGAGCTAAAGAAACCGTAATGCCAATGAAAACATTATATTTTATTTGTCTCAGTTCAATTTCTATGTTTGAATAAATCAGAAACATTTCTGCCTGTCAGCGTGTCCGGATAGAATTCAATGTCCGGAAAAATGGGAGAGATTCGAGTCAAATATTATCTGTGTTTGTTACAAATTGTATATATATATGTATATAAAAATCACCTCATCAAGGCAAGTAGATTAATAGACTTAGAAGAAAGAAAGACATATATTAAAGCCTACCCTTTAACACTCAACACGACAACAAAAATCTCTCAGCTTTAGGGATTCATATTCCTAGAAAAAATACACGTATAATCAAGGAGTTATGAAATTAAGACAGATCGAACTTCTACAAATGTGTCTGTCAAAGTCTTGTAAATACCGGCTCACATAAACTCTGATCTACATGCAATATGTACATTATAAACATTGCTAATAATTCCCTAAAACTCAGGCTCTATACCTCTAGCCTCCAGGCTAAAATAAATCTACATCATTACAAATGATAGACTGTTCATATCGTTGTAAGTGGGTGGACTTACAAAATCGGCAAGGGATCAAATACTTATTTCCTCCACTGTACTGAATGTACACATTTCTCTGTCAAAGCCATCAGGCTAACATACCGCCTGATGGCTGCAGGCACCAAGGACTCAAAGGACTCAATACCTCGTGGAAATATATGTATATAAAAATAACCTCATCAAGAAAAGAAAGAAATATATTAAACAAGCCGACCATTTAAAGGTAGGGTATGTAAGTTTGAGAAACCGGCTCGAGTGCGCTAGAATTTGAAAATAAACGACCAGAGAAAATCTGCCACTTCCTCCAACACTCACGAACATGTGGGCACGAGATAAGTTTGTGCACAGATGGAAGGCTGACAGGCAGGTAGGCCACAGGTAGGCACTTTAGCCGGGCCGGCTCAGATGATTGGTCGTGCTTTTTACAGCGCTACGGCTTCCACAGATTATGGATTTTTATGGATTTTTTGTCAAAGAACTTAAGATATTCATTGCTATCGGGATGTTAAGAGCATTCCATGGAATATAACAAAAAGTGTATCTCGAGCCGGTTTCTCAAACTTACATACCCCACCTTTAACACAAAAAATCCCTCAGCTGTAGGGATTCATATTCTACAAATGTCTCTGTCAAAGTCTTATCAATACCGGCTCACATACATTACATCACATGTCACTTGTTAGACGCTTTATCCAAAGCGACTTACATACTCAATACTGTGGGCAATCCCCACAGGAGCAATTTGGGGTGAAGTGTCTCAGGGACACAACGACATGCTGACTGCAGTGGGGTTTGAACACCAACACACAACCCACTGCACCACACGCCTCCCTGGTGTACAACTCTGGTATACATGCAATATGTACATCAGCAATGCTAATAATTCCCCAAATATCATTCTTCATACCTCTAGCCTCCAGGCTGCTGCTGAGTCTTCTCTCCGCCGTGTCCAGCAGCTGCCGGGACGTCTTCCACAGCTGGCAGTGGCAGCAGGCCAGGTCGAAGGCAGCCATGGCGGGGGGGCTGAGCTCCTCCAGGAGGGAGTGGAGGAGGGTGGAGGAGTCAGAGGAGGAAGAGGAGGAGAAGCTGAGCCAGTACCCTTCCTCCAGGGAGGGCATGGGGTGAGCCGGGGTGCTGAGGAGGCGATCTGCGATGTCTGAGATGGAGTAGAAAGCTACACCTGCAGGGAAAACACACAAGACACATCCTGAGTTATCCACTGTACAGGATACGTGTCAAAAACATTGAAAAGGTCAAATTAAGGAAGTAAAACATTTCAATACATCTAAGTGTTGGGATGTTTAGTTTTGTGAGGCTTTAAAAAGACTCTTATTGGTTTAAAATACAAGGTTTACGTAACGTATTTAAATAAAAAAATAGGACATTTGTTATTAGGAGAGGAAGTAAATGGCTTTTGTTTTGAGGTTTTCTTTTGTAAGCTATATTAGGAAACACAACTCTGTACAACAAGGAGGACAAGGCTCCTTAAATATAGCTTTAAAAGGTCCCATGTCATGCTTTTCCGGTTATTACCCGTCCCCTTGTGTTTTGTATAGCTTGTTCTGCATGTAAACGGTCTGCAGAGTCACAAACCCTCAAAGTACACTCTGTAGCGAGTAAAACTCTAACACAGAAAATACTTGTCTGTGCTGCCCCAGAACGCCTCGTTGGAGATTTATCTTTTTCCATTGTTTACTTCTTGGGTATAGTGACGTATTTCGGGTATAGTGACATAACGGCCGCGGAGCCGTTACGTTTGGACCAATCCGGACTTCCTCACACACACACACACACACACACACACTTGGCGGGACGTTGCGAGGCTCGCTGCTGCGAGGAGCGGGACACTGTGAGCCCCTGGTGTGGGGTCGGAGAGACAGCGAGACACAGCGGAACTCAGCCTGAGCACACACACAAACTCCCAGCCAGGCTGCGGGTGTGTGTGTGTTTCTTTGTCTCTCAGACGGCCACTGGGCTCACAGGGAGGGGGGGCAGGAGCTCCAACAAGCCGTATAGGACAGAGAGTGAATACACATACTATACAGAGATGCTGTATGAGAAACCACTGTGAGTTTGGAACATTGAACAATGTAAATGTATTCTAGTAGAACTCAACAATGGAATTATGATCAGTAGAAATGGCCGTGACATGGGACCTTTAACAGGTGGTTTTTATTTTCATTTCTTTCTTAGATGAGCAGCAGAATAAAATCTAAAGTAAGGAAAAGATGTCTGACCTGTAGGAGCAGCACTTCAATGCTCAAAAACACTTTTATTGTTTTTTATGAATAGTTTACTTAACATATTTATAACAATAACATTTGTTGAAAGAAGAGGAAGGAAATGGCGTTTGTGTTGAGGAATTGCATCTAATTTAAACTATATTAGGAAATAAACTGACTGAGGGCAAGGCTCTTTCAAAATATAGCTTTAACAGGTGGTTTAATTTGCATTCCTTACTTAAAATACAGGATCTAAATGTCATCCGAAGTAAGGAAAAGACGTCTGACCTGCAGCCGCAGCACTCCCGATGGCCTGCAGGGTGGATCTCCCACTGCTGCCCAGCCGAATCCTCCCTCCAGCTGACCCCAGACCCTCTGAGGAAGAGGAGGATGAAGACATGGAGCGGCTCTCCATCTTCTGCTCCACCCGGCCCAGCTCCACCAGCACCTCTTTGTAGCGCTCCATGAACACCAGCTCCCCGCTGCAGGCAGACGCCCCCAGATCAAACACCAGAGACACCTGCAGAGAACACAGGGAGTGAAGTGAGCTAAGAAGTCTCCAAAATAAAGTTTTGCTAAAATGATTTGTAAGTAGCTATTAAAGTAGTTTGCTCATTTCAAAGCTAATGTACTCATGATCTGTACATATCCTCCAATTTCACTGTACATATTTGTATATGAAAAGGTCACCTATCATGCTATTTTTAGGCAATAGCATAGGTCTCAGATATATACAAAAATATAAAAAACATGTCTATGAAGTGTTTTGCTCAAAATACCAAACAGATCACCCATTCTAGCCATGCCTCATATCCCTCTATTTCACTTCCTGTTTCTAAAGTGCTGATTTGGGGATAAAGCTTTAAAAAAAGAAAAAAAGCAGGGGTCTGAGCTCATGCGGGACCCGGCAGCTACTGTCTAAACTAAATGCTGCCGTGATGAAATGCCATATCATGGATTATGAAGGATTCTCTCTGAAACAGTTTGGAGCTCAAAGGCTTTCTCTCTTGCCGGTTATACCACAAGGTGAGTTCCTTTTTACTTCCTGCTTCTTCACACACATGCTCTCCAGTACAGGTTAGCTCTGAGTGTTAGCGATGCTAATGTAAACACCGACCATATTACTTCCAAAACAGTCGGGCATTGTTTCTGATGGCAACGTTTCTGATTGGGCCGTGGGTCCACATTTCAGATATTACGTCATATCGGACGCAAATCTGGATCAGCTCCGTTGTTCCCCGTTTTTAGAGATTTGGGTACGGAGGAAAAGAGAGAGGGTTTTATTTTCTGACGCTGCGTGAGTTCCCCGACACACCGGGGACACATGTTTATGTATAAAAGACATCAGAAAGTGCATTTTGCACGATAGGTCCCCTTTAATGCCTCTAAGTTAATGATGAAGGGGACCATTTGTCTGTGTTTTATATTAAAACAGAGCTACCATGCTTTGCAAAACAACACTGGTGTGTGGCAATAATAAACTATCACTCTATAAATATATCTATGCTCTCTTCAAAGCCAACAGACTCCATTGAGAAAAACATTCATTCTACATCACAGCAGCACAGGGAGTTGCAGCCGCCTTATTGTTTAAAGATCCCATGTCATGCTTTTCCGGTTATTACCCATCCCCTTGTGTGTTATGAAGGTTTTTCTGCATGTAAACGGTCTGCAAAGTCTCAAACCCTCAAAGTACACCCTGTAGCGAGTAAAACTCAGAAAATACCTCTCCAAAACGCCTTGTTGGAGATTTCTCATTTTCCATTGTTTACTTCCTGGGTATCGCTACGTAGGGATACCCAGTAGCCACGCCCAGAGCTATGGCCGCACCCTCTGCCAGCCTTCCACGAAACAAAGCTTCCTAAACCTTTCAGCGATTCATGCCGGATATGTACAGCGTAGGGCACTGAAGAACGATGCTGTTCCTACTTTGTTTGGACCAGCGGGAGATTCGGGTACACAACCTGTAAGTATTCATTGTTGTTTGTGTATTTATGATGTTTAAAACAAACAAGGTATCACCACGACTGTTTAAATGGGTAAACGTTTTTCGGGCTACTACGTTGGGATGGCGGAGAAATGCTCTCCGCAGACCCATTCTCACAGCGTTATAAACCTTTTTCTTACTCAATATCAAGCCACACTTATTGTTTTTACTTCGGCTGTGAGTGTTTGTGTGCTCAGGATGAGTTTCGCTTGTTCAGCAACGAGCCTCTCAGCTTCGCGACCAATCAGAGCACACTGGGCTCACAGGGAGGGGGGGGGGCAGGAGCTCCAACAAGCCGTTTAGGACAGAGAGTGAATACACACACTCTACAGAGATGCTGTATGAGAAACCAATGCGATCTATTCTAGTAGACCTCAACAATGGAATTATGATCAGTGGAAATGGCCATGACATGGGACCTTTAATGTGTGTGTGTTATTGTGTGACTTTAAAGGATTATTTGGGATTCACCAAAGTCACACAACAACACAAACTAACCAATGAATGCTGCGTCGACCAGCAACCCCTATGTATTGGGAGTACAATTACTATTTTTGTCAATGGAGTGTCCTTATGCAACGATATTCAAATTTAAAGGGTATAGAAAATGACTTTTTAGGTGGTGTAAAACACAGCCACATCAGTACATTGGTCTGTTTCCTCCCACTGCAAACAATCAAACCCCTTCAACTTGTATTTAAATGATTTTATAGTAAAGCCCCACAGACCTGATGAGCCTCCATGAAGTTCCCTCTGCGGATGCAGGACATGAGGAGAGACTCTGGGGGCGACAGCATGGCGGGGACCAGCCAGCTGTGAGGACCTCCACACGGACAAACCTCCAGCTCCACACTCCCCCCTCCACCCTCTGACAAAGGACACATACATGCACAAAAATAAATGAGATCTTCATAAAAAACAAACATGCTTTCATTAACCCTGAAGGACAGACGCCTGGTTGGATGTTTTTGGATGAAGCAAAGACTTCAAAAAGTAAGTTCTTAACAATTTAAAAGTTATTTTAATCGTTGCTTTTTCTTAAGGAGGATGAAAGCAGTTTTCGGGGAGCTAATCAGTATATTAATTGTCAAAGGAGACACTTTGGCAGGGTTTCTGCAAAGAATAAAAAGCACCCTTAACACTGATTTGCTCTTGAGATTTCCCCCACATTATTTTAGGAAAAGTATCATTAGTGGAAACCAAAGCATTTGATCCACTTCAGCTTCAATTCAACAGACAGAAACAATCAAATAAAGTACAGCTTGTTGATTCTTCACCTGATGCACTGGGGCTCACTTCTCCGTTTTCAATCAATCAAATAATGTTTTTCACAATTATTTATAAGTATAAAAACATTATATACAAATAATGAAAATAATATGTAAAAATAATAATAATATTTGTTTGTCTTTGATATTATTTGTTATGAAAGATACACATATTTTCCTCCAACATACTCTACTTTTAGTGTTTTTAAACTCTTATTAATGATTCAACTCTCCTACAAATATGATAGTTGTCAGATTTTTGATTGATGATTCGCTTTTCAATCAATCAATGTTTATTTATATGGCCCAATATCACAAATGTTACATTTGTCTCAGTGGACTTCACAGTTTGTACAGAATATCAGTATGACAATACGACACCCTCTGTCCTTAGACCCTCTGTCCTTAGACCCTCTATCCTTAGACCCTCTATCCTTAGACCCTCTATCCTTAGACCCTCTATCCTTAGACCCTCTATCCTTAGACCCTCTATCCTTAGACCCTCTATCCTTAGACCCTCTGTCCTTAGACCCTCTGTCCTTAGACCCTCTGTCCTTAGACCCTCTGTCCTTAGACCCTCTATCCTTAGACCCTCTGTCCTTAGACCCTCTGTCCTTAGACCCTCTGTCCTTAGACCCTCTGTCCTTAGACCCTCACATCGTACAAGGAAACACTTCCGGAGAAAACCCACAGTTTAAAGGGAAAAATGGGAGAAACCTCAGGGAGAGCAACAGAGGAGGGATCCCTCTCCCAGGACGGACAGACGTGCAATAGATGCCGTGTGTACATTTTTGCAATCCCACATTTTCTTTTAGGAGAAGTTGATGTATCATTAGTGGAAAACCAATCAATTTGATCCGCTTCAATTCAGAGAAACAAACAATCGATCAAATAAAGGACAGGTTGTTGATTCCTCACCTGAAGCGCTGGGGCTCACTTCTCCGTTGTGTTTCTCCACAGAGTTTTGTCTCCCCGCTCTCTTCCTCCTCCTCAGACTCGAGCTCTTGCTGCGACTCGGAGACGAGACGGGAGAGCGGAGCGCTGAAACCTGGAGAGGAACGTCTGAACCTGCAGGAGATTTAAACAACAAGATCATATTAAGACAGTTAAAAAGCTCAAAGATAAGTCAAAAAGGGAAACGCTAGAGTTAAACAGTCAAAGGAGTAGGTATGAAGAATAGTGTGTATCCAATTTTTGTTTGGGACTATGGAATATAAACAAAATACATTTGTGTTTTTGTAGGTTTGCATTCCTCCTGTTGAAAATCCAACAAATGCAATTACAGTACTTTTTATTCTGTGTTGCATAAGGACAACAAATAATAGCTTATCTGTTAGCCTCCACTTTTATGTTCAGTATCAATGTGGGTTTTCTTGTCACCATTACATGTAATTAAAACACAATGCATGTATTTGAGTTGCATGGTTTCACCCAAATGAATTACAATCAAAAGATTAAAAGCTGGAGGAATACCTGGTCCGTCTGAGCGCTGGCAAGATGTTTAATAAATATTAAAACTCAAGAATGAACACTAGTGTGTAGGAACTTTTTTTAAATACACTTTCCACAGCACATGTGGTTTTCTGATCTAGAAACATTATTTTCTTGCAGTGTAACTTCATTTTTAATATTGTTTAGCCTGTTATTCCTTCAATTTGTCTGTATATAGTGCAACATCAAATAACCATGGGCCCCCTGAGCTAACCTACACCTACTCCAACCAAAACTGTTACAGAAAGTAAACAGGAAAGCTAGAGGAATGTCTGATCCATCTCACCGCTCCCCGCTGCTCTGGTTGCTGCTGATGATCTGCAGCCTCCACTGAGCCTCGGCGGTGCGTTTGGATAACCTCTGCAGACGAGCCGCAAAAGTCTCCGCCGTTATGGAGCATCCGAGACCCTCAGTGGTCTCCTTCCCATCCTGCAGCTCCTCCACACTCATGCCCTCCAACCCTTCCTTCAGAAGCTTCAAAAAGCCTGTCATGGCCGTCACGTCAGCCAGGAACCCCCTGCAGCTCTGGATGAAGTGTCCCAGCTCCAGGTGATTACATTTAGGCAGCTTCTGCTTCTCTTTAGCTCCTAGTTCTTCATCTGTGTTTCTAGTTTCTGATAAGCATTCAGACTGAGATGCATTCCCCTTGAGAGGGCTTGAGTTTGAGTCTTTATGGATGTGTGGGGAGAAGTCGGCGGTGGAGAGGAAGAGAAGAGAGAAGATGTTCTCCAGGAGCTCCAGGCGGAGGATGGAGGGAACGGCCTGCAGGTGGAGCTGACATTCAGACAGGAAGTGCTGGAACAGAAGAGGAAGACCTGGAAAACACGAGAATCAGAATGAAAAACTAGATGAAAAGAGGATCAGAATTAAGACTAAGACATACTTTACTAAGCCCAAAGAACACATTTAATCAAACCATTTTGAAGTATCCAGATCAAGGATTTGTAATTTGCTCTCGAGATAATCTGTTAACTTTTAAAAAAAGTATTTAATAGCCTTCTTTTATCAGAAGCATTATTATCTTCTCTATATATATATATATATATCTATCTTTATTTATTTTAGTATTTCTAATATCCTTTAAAGGTCATGCTATTTTTAGGCAATAGCATGGGTCTCAGATATATACAAATATATAAAAAACATGTCTATGAAGTGTTTTGCTCAAAATACCAAACAGATCACCCATTCTAGCCATGCCTCATATCCCTCTATTTCACTTCCTGTTTCTAAAGAGCTGATTTGGGTTATAAACAGGGTTTTGGGGGATAAAGCTTTAAAAATAAAAAAGGAGGGGTCTGAGCTCATGCGGGACCCGGCAGCTACTGTCTAAACTAAATGCTGCCGTGATGAAACGCCATATCATGGATTATCAAGGATTCTCTCTGAAACAGTCTGGAGCTCAAAGGCTTTCTCTCTTGCCGGTTATACCACAAGGTGAGTTCCTTTTTACTTCCTGCTTCTTCACACACATGAGGCGCATTCACACCACGGTACTTTTCCCACAAAGGTTCATGCAAACTTAGTTCATGAGAACTCTTTTATCGCGTTCACACCAAAAAGAGCCGGTACTAAAATTAGTTCATGAGAACCTTTTTACCCCCGGCTCTCTTGTGAGAAAAGAGCTATATGTCTGATTGGCTGGGCGGATTGCAAACCACGCCCCGTAAAACTCCCAAAAAGTTTTGTGAAGCCGCCATTTTATTATCCTCGCATTAGCATTATTAGCATTAGCATTAGCCCAGCGCAGAAACGCAGAGAGACTAACTTATGGCAACACAAAATAAAACATGGGAGCGGTGGAGATGAGGAGGTGTCGGCGGTCTGGCGATTTTTTACTCGGAAGGCTTCAGTAGAAGCTGCTGGGAGTCCCAGCAGCTTCTACTGAAGCCTGTCCCCAACTCCGGGGACTTTCGGCCGGGGACTTTGGGCGGCAGTATACGCCGTGAAGTGGTTTGCGGCCTGCCAGTAAACCCAAAGCAGAAGAAGAACAAGTGACGTCAGCGGCTTCATTTGCCTAATCCACCCCCAGGGACTTTTTCCAGTGTGAACGCGATCTGTACTTAGTTCATGCGAACTAAAGAGTTCACATGAACTAAGTTCACATGAACCTTTGTGGGAAAAGTACCGCAGTGTGAATGCGCCTATGCTCTCCAGTACAGGTTAGCTCTGAGTGTTAGCGATGCTAATGTAAACACAGACCATATTACGTCCAAAACAGTCGGGCATTGTTTCTGATAGCAACGTTTCTGATTGGGCCGTGGGTCCACATTTCAGATATTACGTCATATCGGACGCAAATCTGGATCAGCTCCGTTGTTCCCCGTTTTTAGAGATTTGGGTACGGAGGAAAAGAGAGAGGGTTTTATTTGCTGACGCTGCGTGAGTTCCTCAACACACCGGGGACACATGTTTATGTATAAAAGACATCAGAAAGTGCATTTTGCATGATAGGTCCCCTTTAATGTATTTTTTTCACAATAATAATAATAATTCAAATAATATTTAAATATATGTAAAAATAAAAACATTAGTGTGTCTTTTGATTGCAATGAGATTACTTTTTAATAAAAGATACACATATTTTGTTCTACTATAAGTGTTTTTAAGGTCTTATAATGATTCAACACTTCTACAAATAGTGTTCATTTAAAAACACTCAAAAGATAAGTGTCAGCTAAACGTGCAGACAGGAAACTGAAACTTCCCCACAGGAAATGAAGACAGATCGTACCGTCTGAGGAAGCAGGGGTTTGCTTGTCTTCTGTTTCTGTGTCAGACGTCTGCTGCTGCACGGACTCACACTCGGCACAGTGAGAGTGTTTATGAGCGTTCACACACAGAGCGTAGACGGCATACTTCATGGCACAAAACCCCTGGAACAAAACGATGTTCCTCTGCACACCAGAACTCAGATTACTGACGGCCGCAGCGTCTTCTGCAGGGGGGGAAACACATTGTTCCGTCAGCAATTAAGATAATCATTCAGACTGTAATACAGGGAATTATACCCTCAGCAAATTCACAAAGTATAATCGGAGTGGAATATGGCCCACACCTGAAACCTGTATTGTACGTCCTAAATATATATATATGTAGAAATTCAGTCAATTAAAGTTGAAAACTTCTTCTAACAAATCTTAGTTGATACAAAAACAAGCTTTTAAAAATAATTGTCCCTTATTATAATTAATGTGAGGCTTCTGTTTCAAGGAACGAGCTGCTAACACTTTTGTAAGAAACTAAATGAAACCCTATGGAGAGCTGGGGTCTAGGCTGTTTTTTTTCTTAACATTTCTATGCATTACATTAATGGTAAATGGACTGTACTTATATAGCGCTTTATCCAGTCTTTAAGACCCTTCAAAGCGCTTTACATACTACATGTCGTACAGAGCAGTGTACCTTCTAGGACCTAACATTCACACACCGTTGGCCATCGGGAGCAACTCAGGGTTAAGTATCTTGCCCAAGGATACATCGACATGTTGACTGCATGGGCTGGGATCGAACCCACAACCTTCTGGGTGAAAGACGACCGCACCCACGCAGACACAGTCGCCCCAATGCACAACAATATTTTGTATTATTTTTCTACCTGTGTTTTTAACTCTTGTTTTTATGCACCACGACACCAAGTCAAATTCCTCGTACGTGTAAACCTACCTGGTAATAAACCCGTTGCTGATTCAAGTTTGGAGCATCATTGACCTACGTTTGATTGATTTTGCTAACCTATAACGTATGAGGCGATATACATCACCTCAAGTGAGTGGCCCAGCCTTTCGTATATTTTTCTGTATCTGGCCCTGAGTGAAAAAGGTTTGGACCCCCCTGCTCTAATCAGGGTTCATACACTTTTTCACCAATGATTTTCAATGACTTCTCCATGACCTTTACCTAATTTTCTATGACCAAAGAAATGACTCAGCGTACCACTGAAAATGGTTTATTTTAACATGGAACAGGAAACTAAGGTCTTCATATGAAACATGTTGTGCCTATCTAAAACAAATCAAATAGGCTTGCTAGCTTCTACACGCTAAAGCAACTCAAATCTCTCTCCAGCAAAACACCTCGTCAGTTAAATGCCATTTAACGTTTCATTATTATACGATACAGTATTTATTATTGTTATAGTATTACTATTTCGCGATTAGATCAAATATAAATTATATTTTATGCAACTTTAGTTACATTTCCATGACTTTTCCAAAACTTTGGGACAAATATTGTTTTCCATAACTTTTCCAGGGCCTGGAATTAGCATTTTGAATTTCCATGACTTTTCCAGGTTTTTAATGACCGTAAGAAGAACCCTGTCTAATAGATGAAAAGAGGATGGAGATGCTGACCTGGTGCAGGTGAGTTTGGCTGCTGCTGCAGCAGATCCAGTATCCTGCGCTCCTCAAACTGAGGAAGAGGAGTGAGGGAGTGCAGGATATAGAGAGCGGAGTGATGGTCCAGAGTGTGAAGCTGAGCCAGCAACGACTCCATGGAAATCCCTCTGTGCACAAACAGTTACCAAAGAAGGAATGACGATATTAATCATTATGCATCATATTCTGGCTTTTTTTAAAAACTGTAACACTAAGAACTATTAGAACATATTTAAGAAAGGTGTTTATTGCAGCTGTATTGTGGAGAACTGAACTGTCTATGCCACATGTGTCAAACTCAAGGCCCGGGGGCCAAATCAGGCCCTTGGTGGATTTAATGTCGGCCCGCAGGATAATTTGTAATTACTATTAGATCTGGCCCGCCGGTATATTGCACGCATACCTTCACTCCATCCTGAGGGTCTCCTCAGCTCAGAGCCTGAGCCCAAACATTGATGACCTTGCTCCCAAGATGAGATGCCAAGTATCTGAGCTAGCATCACAGAGCAGCACACTGAGTTTAATGGATGCTTCCTTCTGCACTTTCTCTCTCAGGACAACAGGGCATGTTTGGTTTGTTCTTTGAGGGGAATAGTTTTGTTGAAGCTGTTGTTGGCCTGTGGGAAAATGTACTCATAAGAAATGACTCTGGAAAAGCTGCAGATAGAGCCATAAGAAATGAATGCACCTGATTATTTAATGTTTAATGTTGTTTTTATTGGCAATAATTGAAGCTTTGTTAGTTCCAGGTTTAATATGTGCAATAAGTTCATTTCAATAAGTTCTGCAATAAACATTGAACCAGTCCGGCCCTCGACGAGTAATTTTGGCCCACTTTGTATTTGAGTTTGACCCCCCTACTCTATGCAATGCATCCAAATCAAACTTTATAAGATAAGAGGTACTTTATTGATCCCAATTTGGAAAGGTTTGTGTCGCAGCAGCAGAAAAAACGAAACATTGCATATTCAGTTTATTATCAGTGACATAAACCGGAATTTAGGGAAGAAAAAAAATGATATTATTTTATAAAATACTTTTTAAAACGTCTTATTCTTATTTATTTTATGAAAATCAATAATGGCACTTTATAAACAAACATAGCAGAGCAGTTAAGGTCAAACTAAATATATATAGCTGTCATTTTGGGAGTTTTTCCCCTTTTTTTAAACACACTGGCAATGAAAGGGTTACAATTGTGTAAATGAATGCATCACTCGGGCCTTTGGCCTCAGCTAAAATGCAGTACCCAGCAACCTGTTATTTTTAACCTGTGTATCTGTGTGACTATTATTATTTTGTTGTTTTGTTTCCTATTGTAAAGCGTCCTTGGGTCTCTTGAAAGGCGCTATAAAAATTGAAATTATTATTATTGGTTTCTATAATCAGGACTAAAATTGGAAAATAAATAAGAGTACTATTGAAATGTGGCAGACCTTTTCCACAGACATATTTTCCTCTAAGGACATTTTAAATAGGGATGCACAAGGGTTTACAAATAAATACAAAGTAAGATGGATGCAGTCAAGCTTAAAAAATAAAAACACAAATGCTTACGGATTGTTGTTTTTACACCATTCAAGGACTCCAAGCTGAGAGGACAACAGGTTGGAAAACTCCTGCAGAACGGAGTCATTGGCTGCAGCCTGAGACAGAGGGTTTGAGGATAAGTTAATCACATTATTAAGCTGTAAATGATCTGTATTTGTGGAGGTTTTATCAGACGTCTGACCTGCTCTCGGTGCAGGACGCTGAGCAGCGTTTGGGCGGCGCTCAGGCTGCGACACTGCGTCCATCCCAGGAGCAACAGCAGGCGAGAGAGAGGCTGAAACTCCAGCTGAAGTAAATCTCTCAGCGCAGAAAACTCCTCGTGTTTGATCAGGTCCAGAGCCGTGATCTGCAGGAAGGAACCAAATGATTACATTATTCAATTTCCTCACTAGGCAGCAAATGCTCATACTGCCAAAACAGCAAATGGCTCACATGATGAATTTCAATGTGAAAAGGTGAAGCTGGTAGTGACAAACACATCGAACAAATTATCCCCTGACTTGGCATCTTTTCTCTTCTCTTATATCTACAAATAAATATTATATACATAGAGAATTTCACAAAATGTAGTATTAAAGCAAAGTATTATTTATACATAACTTAGAATCAATAATATTTTTTGTATATCAATTTGACACTGCTTGATGTTGTATTGTATAATAATTCTCATGTTAAAGGTGGGGTATGTAATTCACTTCAGAAACACTTGTTATATTCCATGGAATGCTCTTAACATCCCGATAGCAATGAATAAATTAAATGCTTTGACAATAAATACATACAAATATTTCATCTGTGGAAGCCGTGGTGCTGTAAAAAGCTCGACCAATCATCTGAGCCGGCCCGGCTAAAGTAACTGGATGGCCTACCTGCCTGTCAGCCTTCCATCTGTGCACAAACTGATCTCGTGCCCTCATTGGTCATGTGCACGTTCGTGTGTGTTGGAGGAGGGGCTCTGTGAGGAAGTCTGAAGGAAGGAGCAGGTTTTTTGCGGTTGCGTATTTTCAAATTCTAGCGCACTCGAGCTGGTTTCTCCGTTCTTACCTACCCTACCTTTAAGTTTTTGTATTATTGTTTTACACATTAGAAATAAATCTAATCGAATAACAATTCAAATCAAAGCTGTAACCTTGGCTGACTAAACATTATGCAAACATTGCAAGTTCGAGTCCCACTGCAGTCAGCATGTCGTTGTGTCCCTGAGACACTTCACCCCAAATTGCTCCTGTGGGGATTGTCCACAGTATTGTCGCTTTGGATAAAAGCGTCTAACAAATGACATGTAATGTAATGGCATGTAATGGCATGGGAACTATTAGCCAACATGATGATTAACGTCACGGTCAGGACTCATTAGGGAGTCATGATCGTTCTGGAAGACGACTCTGCACACTGTAGGTATTTGTAAACGTATAAATAGTATCGCTAGTTAGAGTTTTCCTCACCAAGACCTGCTCCAGGAAGTGCTTCCCACTGCTCAGGCACTCGAAGTAAATGGTCTTCCAGATGGACGGGCGATCCTTGTGGCAACACAAACTGAGGGCCAGCTTCTCCGCTTCAGGAAGCTCCACTGAGAGAGGGATGGAAACAAGTATGAGGATCCATAACATTGATGAAAAAGGGAAAGTGTTGGGAGTGTCCTCTTCCAATATCAGAGTCCACATGATAACAAAGGTATCCCAACTGTAGCTGTGAACATGACAGGATGTGTGATTACCTAGAAGAGCATCAGGACTGTTTGAGGCATATGATAGCTATGTGATTAACATGATGATTCAGCCTCTATGGAGAGAGACATATGACAAGCATGCTCATTTCTGACGTGGAGCTAATCTGAAGTAAACATTGAATACTGCTTTCTGTTCCTCCATCTTGTGACTGTGTAACTCCCTCTCTTGGATATCAGCATGTGAAGGACACTGTTCAGGAACTAGTTGATGCTCTGTATGTGATGACTACTTCCATTCTGGAGAGGATCACAGATACATGGATCCTGAGGTTGAAGCTCAAGACGGGGACCAGTGATTATTAACAATTTTAAGTATTCAGAAAAAGTAAGAATTTTGAGATTTTGAGGAAAAAGTCAGAATTTTGAGAAAAAGTCAGAATTTTGAGAAAAAAATCAGAATTTTGAAATTTTGAGAAAAAGTCAGTATTTAGTACAAGACAGGATGTATGATTACTTAGAAGAACTGGTATTCCTCCATCTTGTGACTGAGGAACTACTTGATGCTCTGTATGTGATGACTACTTCCTTTCTGGAGAGGATCAGAAATACATGGATCCTGAGATTGAAGCTCAAGCCGGGGACGAGTGAGATTTTTCCTAACAGAATGCATAAGAGAGTTTTGCCTAGGACTTTAGGGCATGTAATTGCTGGAGGGATTTAAAAAATCAAGCACACAATTCTCCCCTAACGCCCTTTTTATTTGTATTTTTGAATGAATGTTGTGTTCACTCATTGTGGCCTTCTTTCATATTTTCTTCCTATGTACAATCTATGCGGATTCAACTGAAAGACAAATGGGAAAAACAGTACGCAAAAGGGTGAATATCTTAGTTTAAGTTGCTAAAACTGATATAAAAACTAAGAAAAAACGTTTTTTAATTACCAGGTATGTGTACTAAAAGATACAATAGATAATTACATTCATTCAGGCAAGCTCAAAATCACTAGTTAATCACCACTACTGTGTAAAATGCCACATGAATTATCAACTGTGAAATCTAAATTTCGCCCACAGATCTTTTGAAATATTAAATCTATGCTGACGCTAACAAAACTGCAGAAGAGCAAGAGAAGATGTCATGCTTCGGTGACACCAAGTAAAAGCTGCTGAGCGTTTGAAGCCACAGAAGGAGAAGTGTGAATACAAGAGGAAAAGAGATGATCACAACATTTGAAGAAGTCAAAACCTCAGGCTATAAATATTATATATCGGTGAAACAAAAACCAGTTGAGGAGGAAGTGATTTATAGGAACATGCAGATTTTTTGGGCAGTCTGCTTAAAGGTGGGGTCGGTAATTCACTTCAGAAACACGTGTTGTTATATTCCATGGAATGCTCTTAACATCCCGATAGCAATTAATATATTAAATGCTTTGACAATAAATACATTAAAACATCTAATCTGTGGAAGCTGTAGCGCTGTAAAAAGCACGACCAATCATCTGAGCCGGCTAAAGTAACTGGATGGCCTACCTGCCTGTCAGCCTTCCATCTGTGCACAAACTGATCTCGTGCCCTCATTGGTCATGTGCGCGTTCGTGTGTGTTGGAGGAGGGGCTCTGTAAGGAAGTCTGGAGGAAGGGGCAGATTTTTTCCGGTTGTGTACTTTCAAATTCTAGCGCACTCGAGCTGGTTTCTCCATTCTTACGGCCCGTCCACACAGCGGCGTGCGTTGTTGCTTGCCGGCGGGCGTGTCTGAAACTCGACCAACAACCAATCACATGAATCTCCCGCCCCTGACACACAAGCAGCGGTTTGATTGGCTAGAACAGGAGTGGCCAACCCGCGGCTCTCGAGCCGCATGCGGCTATATATGTATATAGAAAATGTTTTAGATCTTTGAGTTCATCTCATGAAAAATGGGAGCAAAAACAAAAGTGTTGCATTTATATTTTTGTTCAGTGTATATATATATTTTTTAAAGATGAATCAACTCCAAAATCCACATGTGTGTGTTTATCAAAATGTCTTCCACTCTACCTTGAGTTAGAGGGGCGCTCCTCAGCAGGTGGTCCCTCTGGAGCCTCAGGGCGACGGAGCAGTACACGGAGACGAGGTCGTCCCCCTGAGGGCGGAGCAGCGAGCCCAGGACCCTCTCCTCCTTCAGGGGCCCGTCTCTGGCCCCCCACAGGGCCTCGCACAGGGCCTCCAGCTGACCCCCGCCCGCCCTCCTGGAGCTCCACGGCATCACGGACAACACAGAGTACATTTCCTCCACAAACTGCTCCACCTTCTCAGGCCGAGACTCCGGTTTCCTCAGCTGCTGCAGCAGGTGTTGGATGAAGGTGAGCTGCAGCGGACGCTCCTCTGAGGAACACTGGGAGAGGGGGAAATAATAATAACAATAATAATAATAATAATTCATTCTGAAGCTTTCAAAGGACCCAAGGACACCTTACAATTCATAAAATATTCTAAGGAAAGGTTTAAGATAGTACAAAAGGACCGTAACAGGATTCACATGTAATGAAATGTACTTTTTGCAACAGGTCGCCATTGTCAGTATGTGCGTCTGTGTTTGTTCAAACGGTGTATGAGTGATGATATGTGAATGTATTTGATTGTTTATTATGTTTGTATATGTACATGTATGTGGAACTGCAGGACGGAGTCCAGAACAAATGTCCTTACGGGGACAATAAAGTATATCGTATCGTATATCTTATAAAACGGACAAGTCAAATCAAGCAATCTGATTGGTTCTTAGCCGTGATATAATGAGCGTATATCACGGGTAGAATTGAAGTTACTTTTCACAACAAGTCAGTATCCCTCCGCGTCTGAGAAAAGCTACAACTGTTACATTACGTCCGTTACGAAACTAACTAACTAACAAAGCTTAAGATGTAAACATGCAAGGGATAATTTGCAGCAAGGACGTATTGACCGTTAAGGACGCTCACATCTGCAGAAAGAAGTCCGGTCGATTTAACTGTATACAGTTTGGCCGAACTGGGACAAGAAAACAGCGGAGAAGTAACGGGGCAGAAACCCTCCTTTTTACGCAGCGGTCCAGACATAGACATCAAACGGCGACACATATTCAGTGTGCGGTTCCTTTGGCTTTAGGGCAGGGATATCTAGATACTTCCCAAGCTTTGACATCATGAATTGTGCTACTTTTAAAGCAAGCAACGATGTTTTCAAATCTGTAATAAAAAAGGTCCGCAAAAACGCTATCGAAGCAGTTCCTGCCGTTGCTACGTTAGTTCAAACGGTGACAACGGACTATTTTTGATCTGCCTGTCAGTTAAGGGGCGTGGTTTGGACCGACGCGAAGCATATACCACGGCCTGTCGTGAGCTATTGCTTACAGTAAGTATATCGTATCGTATGTAGGGAAACGGACAAATAGACAAAACATATTGGTATTTTTCCACTACACATAATCCCATTTTTAAATCTTCACATCCATATAATCAATTTATAGTAAATGCAACCAACATATACCTAATCATATCTTACACTATCTTCCAATAAATACAATTAGTTATGTTTATTTAACCTGAAACACAAATGAAGGGGATTCCTCATTTACCATGATTGCAACAAAAAAAAGGGCTAACAATAAAAACAAAAATTATTAATAGCTCAATTAGAAAAGGATCATAAACATTCTATAAATAAACAAAGCTTTATATGTGAGGTATTAATGAATGGACTTTTTGTCTTTTAAGATATTTATAGCTTTGGATTTTATAAATGAATATGCACACACGTTTATAAAAGAGACATTTCTATTTCCACTCTTTGCATATTACTTTATAAAGTTTTAATCAGTTTTTGTTGCTTTAAAAAGTTATAATATGTCTATCTTTACCTGTAAGAAATGTGCTAAGGTCTGGGCGAGTCTGGGCTTCTTCTTCTCCAGTAACGTCCGCAGGCAGGACTCGACCGCGGCGTCTGTTGACCTTTGACCCTCCGGAGGTTTTTGCTCCGACTGCGAGTTCAGAAAGGCCCGGTGCAACTCCTGCAAAAAGATGTCAGACTAAAGTCACCCTCTCAACAGTCATGCTAATCCCCAAAACACAACATGTGAAATCATCTGCATGCACTCGGCCGGTTCGAACACACAGTACAATTGTGTCTCAGTCAATTAAATGGTTAAGCGTTTTATTATCTGGTTTCTACTATTTCATTTTCAACAGTAGACGCCGGTTGTTAAATTATTAAATGGTGAGAACCTTGAGGACAGTCTCTGGTATGTTTTCTGAGCCGAGTTCCTCCAGGAGCAGCAGGAACTCCAGCTCTCTCCTGACGTCCGGAGGAACCTGAAGAGGACAGTAAACAACAACAATTGTATATATGAACTTTATTCGTAAAGCATCTTAAAGGTCACCTATCATGCTATCTTTAGGCAATAGCATAGGTCTCAGATATATACAAATATAAAAAACATGTCTATGAAGTGTTTTGCTCAAAATACCAAACAGATCATTCTAGCCATGCCTCATATCTCTCTATTTCACTTCCTGTTTCAAAAGTGCTGATTTGGGGATAAAGCTTTAAAAAAAAAAGGAGGTTCTGAGCTCATGCGGGACCCGGCAGCTACTGTCTAAACTAAATGCTGCCGTGATGAAACGCCATATCATGGATTATCAAGGATTCTCTCTGAAATAGTCTGGAGCTCAAAGGCTTTCTCTCTTGCCGGTTATACCACAAGGTGAGTTCCTTTTTACTTCCTGCTTCTTCACACACATGCTCTCCAGTACAGGTTAGCTCTGAGTGTTAGCGATGCTAATGTAAACACCGACCATATTACGTCCAAAACAGTCGGGCATTGTTTCTGATAGCAACGTTTCTGATTGGGCCGTGGGTCCACATTTCAGATATTACGTCATATCGGACGCAAATCTGGATCAGCTCCGTTGTTGCCCGTTTTTAGAGATTTGGGTACGGAGGAAAAGAGAGAGGGTTTTATTTTCTGACGCTGCGTGAGTTCCCCGACACACCGGGGGGACATGTTGATGTATAAAAGACATCAACAAGTGCATTTTGCATGATAGGTCCCCTTTAAATACAGGAAATGCAGCTCGAAGTGCTTCAAACTTAAGGAAAATGAACATAAAAGAAAGGGATACAAATGCCATAATTAATGGAAAATAAGATGCAAAATAAAACACTTGATAAAAAAGCTCATTTACAGCATGAATCAATAATTGATAAACCAATAAAGAAACTGCAGCAGCTCTCTCTTACTCTTTTCTCATATGTTGTTCTACATCAGTGGTAAATATGTAGATGCATCATGTCAGTGTGTGGATTCTGTTTCAGGAGTATTTTCACACCGTTTCATAGCACGACATGTCTGCTTTTTAAAAAGCACAGGGCACATTTTCAAAACAGATTTCCTGATTCCAAGAACGATTTACTTCCAAATAAGATAACTCAAATACCAGAAATATAGTTTTAGTTTAACATGACCAAATAAAACAAAAGAGAGAGGGCTTGATTTGTATATATATTGATATTGATATTTGTATAGTGTTACCTGCTCGCCTGTCCATTTCTCCAACACCTGAAGCCAAAACCAAGCCAGTTTGTGCGGACTGCCCACAGACTCCCATCTGCAAAATAAACAGTCATTATTTTTGTTGCTTATAATATACAGCAACAAAAAAGTATACACACAATTGTAATATTAGGGGTTTTAGCAGACCTAATAACGAGGGGTGTCAAAATTAAATCAATCCGGATCGGCTTTAAGATCATTTTTAAATGTATGTTTTTATTTTTGAAAATCCTGATTAATAAAAACCATTTGCTCTTAAACATGTTATCATTTTACACTTACACTAGTGTACAATTATTACTGTATACACTTATATAGTAAACAACAGGAGGTCTTTAAAAAAAATAGTTTTTATAATTCCATTTAAATGTCTGCAAGAGCCTGGAAAAAGTGCTCAAAAGTGCTTTTTATGAGTTGAGTTAAATGTATTTGATCGTGCTAAATGTGCATATGATATCGCCCTCATCAATGCTCCAGGAAAAAGTGCTTCGTGTTAGATTTAAAAAATGCACACAAAACGAACACCCTTATGTCTTGTGATTGTGAACATGCAGCACTGTGACTCACTTTAAGTTGTACGGGTGGCTGACGATGGCTTTGATTATGTCTCGCAGTTTCTCTGAGAGCCCCCCCGTGGAGCTGACCAGCTGAGGGACGCAGGCGTTGGCCAGCTCCCACTCCCCGTGCTGCAGGCATCTCTTAAAATACTCAAACAGCTCCTGCAGGGAGGTCTCCGCCTCGCAGCCGAAGGGATGCATGACCACTGTCACCGAGACCCTCCTCCAATCCGCTCAGCCGTCACAAGTGCACACGCTCCGTCACTGCCATGAAGCCCAGGGGGAGACTGGAGCTTTGTTCACATGAAAAAGAGATAAGTAAAAAGTTCTGAGACAATAAGAACAATATCAAAGTAAAAGTCAACTTTATTGTCAATCTTTCAGTTTGTGTGTACTGTACAGACAGAGAGATCGAAATACCGTTTCCCACAATCCCGAATACAAAAATATATAAAATATGTATATCCTATATACACACACACACATTTATACATATGCACACATTAAGACCTAAATAAAAAGGTCAATATATACAAAATAACAGTCACTTCAAAATCTTTAATCCAAGGTACCTCCGGCCCCATTTGAAGCACTTGCAATTCAAAAGGTCTCATTTAAAAACTGTTGTAAATACTCAACTGCCTTTTCTCTCTTTTATTCTTTACACGTAAACACATTCATGTAGAATTTAAATAAACCCACTTTTAATGCATTTTATTCTTGTTTTGTTTTACAGCGTTAAAGCAAATTAATATGTATTTGATTGGTGTTTTTCGGTTGGCTACAAATGCATAGATTATTTGATTTTAAAGTCAATAATTATATATATCGTTAATTATTTGTCCTTAAATAATCATGCACAGAATTAGGGAGGAAAGACCAGATAAATAATGGACAGGAACAAATAATAATGATATAAATATATTCAATTAAATGCCAAAGTCAGTTAAATCATATTGATTCACAAGGGTTACAAATAAATACTCGCAACACCACAGTGGAAAACAAAACAACATAGCGGCTATATTGTGAGAGCATTAAAATGTTTAGGCTGGAGTTAAAATGTATGATTTCCGCCCCTTGACAGAAATGCAATGATTCCTTTATCCTAACCCACATGTGTCAAACTCAAGGCCCGGGGGCCAAATCAGGCCCTTGGTGGATTTAATGTCGGCCCGCAGGATAATTTCTAATTCCTATTAGATCTGGCCCGCCGGTATATTGCACGCACACCTTCACTCCATCCTGAGGGTCTCCTCCGCTCAGAGCCTGAGCCCAAACATTGATGACCTTGCACCCAAGATGAGATGCCAAGTATCTGAACTAGCATCACAGAGCAGCACTGAGTTTAATGGATGCTTCCTTCTGCACTTTCTCTCTCAGGACAACAGGGCATGTTTGGTTTCTCTTTGAGGGAATAGTTTTGTTGAAGCTGTTGTTGGCCTGTGGGAAAATGTACTCATAAGAAATGACTCTGGAAAAGCTGCAGATAGAGCCATAAGAAATGAATGCAGCTGATTATTTAATGTTTAATGTTGTTTTTAAATAGGCAATAATTTAAGCTTTGTTAGTTCCATGTTTAATATGTGCAATAAGTTCATTTCAATAAGTTCTGCAATAAACATTGAACCAGTCCGGCCCTCCACTAGTACCCATTTTCTAATGTTGGCCCACTGTGTATTTGAGTTTGACCCCCCTGTCCTAACCCTTTGTTTCATAAACATGGACACTCCTCTCAAATCACATTGAGCTGGTTCTCTGCTTATCTTTGCCTTTTATATAATAATAATAAACAGGAAGTTGTTTCTGGATAACCAGATTCTAAAGCTCTCATTAAGTTTGATACCTTTTACGAGTTGGATTAGTTTCAAATGTATTTCCTTATACTTCTACACACAATAAGTCCTGTTTCGCAGTAGTAAACAATATAACGTGTGTAGTGTTTGATTTTACATTTCCTCCAATTATTACAGTAATGCAGTACATGTACATGTTTTACAGCATACTTGATTATATTTGATCATTACCTAACACCTTTATGTATACAGAATTTGACAAACACACATATTTTTCGACACTTTCAGCTTCAAAATCTCTAATATAGGTTTGCTTTGTAAATGTAATACATGATTACAGAGGCAAACAAACATAATACAGAATGTAAGCCTATGCATAGAATATTTGAAACTCATTTTATTGAACTAGAGGATGTTGAAAGTCAATAAAAAACACATCGATCGACACATTTTTTTATTTAACCCAATGTATGTCTTGTTTTTCATCTGTACCTTTAATTGCCTGTGCAAACAAATAACGCAAGATACAAAATAAATAATAATAGATGTCTAGTGAGCTGCTGTAGTGACTTTAACTATTTAGTGAAATACACTTCTAAAATGTCAATATTTATCGTTTCTTCTCAGATTTGACAGCTGTCACAGGATAGCATTAGCATTAGCTTACATTCTTGCTGACTGGCTGAATGCGAAACATTAAGTTAGCTAACATCCTTAACAGACTTTAGAAACACACACACATCATGAACAAGTTAGCGAGTATTTAATAAAGTTACTTACTCATTTCTTTGTGTCGTTTTGCCCCAAAACGGAGGACTATTTACACTCCTGCTATCTCTGCTGTTGTGCTAGGAGGCTAGCTGCATGTTAGCGAAGGTCATGTGACCAAATCAGCTGATTGTCGAACCCCGATTGGTCAAAGGTTGGCACGAGGTGGGCGTTTTCTTCTGCTCCTGCTGCTTTTAGGGACTGTCGGAAACACCGCGATCCAAACAGGAGGACACAAAACAAACGGTGTATAACATCTGAGTTGTATTTAATTTGACAAACAGATGTCGGTAGGAGTATAAAAAATGCACTGTATTTCGAAGAATATATTTTACATTTTATTTATTTGTTAAATGTTATAGAATTAGGTACAAATTGTAATGCCAAAATCACGGATATAAATTCCTTCATTCAAATCTTACTTAAGCAGAGATGGAAGTACATTTACTCAAGTACAGTACTTAAGTACCATTCTGATGTACTTGTACTTTACTTGAGTATTTCCATGTTAAGCTACTTTGTACTTCTACTCCACTACAGTTCAGAGGTAAACGGTGTATACATTTAGTTACTTTACAGATCTGGATGAATGATGTGAAATATAATCAAGTGTTAAATCAGACTTTAGTTCCACCTGGAGTAAATTCACAAGCTACCCTGCAGTATACAAACTCATTCAAACTAGCTGCACCTTTACCAGCTTTGAGAACACTTTCATGATCAATCTTTATAAAACACATCATATATATTATTCTGAAATGGACCAATCTGCACAATGACTACTTTTACTGTCGCTACTTTCACTATATTTTGATGATAATACTTTTCTACTTTTACTTGAGGAACATTTTGAATGCAGGACTTTGACTGTAACAGAGTATTCCTACACTCTGGTACTTCTACTTTTACTCAAGTACAAGATCTGAGTACTTCTACTTTTACTCAAGTACAAATATTTGAGTACTTCTACTTTTATTTAAGGAGGAGAAAAATACAGTAATCTACTGGCAGGGTCAAATTGTACTTTCTGAAGTAATATTAAGGTACCAGTTTACGAGGTTTACTGTGACCAGTGAAGGCAGCATCAGGTGAAGGTTACGGTGTACGATACAACATGTGAAGCACGCTCACTGCAGACTGAAAGCAGCAACGAAGTAGCATTAACATGCAGAAAAATGATGAACCCACTCATGCACATCAGTGTTTAAAATCATCTTTAGCCCACTTTCCATCCACATAATCATAATTGAATTGGCACATCATGCATTTGCAGCCTGTAATATATCCCCCTTCCTGTCTCCCCTCCATTATCAATGCCAATTTGGGAGCCAGTCTCTATGACAACGTGGAGCAGGCGGGGTCTATTATCCAGAGTCTCAGTTGGCATCACGGCTGCAAACCTCCACACTGCATCACGCCCTGAGTGGAATGGAAGAACAGGACAAGAAAGAAAATGTACGTATTTAGCTCAGTATCATGCGTGTTATAACATGTCTGCAAAAAGTATTTATTGAATGTAGGATATGTGACTTACTGGAGGAAATACAGGCAGTTTAGTGCAGCTGAGTCACTGTTAAAGATGTGCATCAATGGAGCTTTTGTTCCCATCGGTGGCTGTGCTTTATTCTGCAGATTAAAACACCAGCATGCTGCATGATGAAGCAACAGCATGCGATATTAAAAGTGATTTTGATCGGTGGGCCTCTCCCTGTGTGAGATGTCTTTCTAACATCTCTTTTGTTTGGCAGGGGGAGTACAGCGGAGAGATAAAGGGAGGCATGCGGCCTTCAATGAAGCTGGTCGTTATGGGAATTATTAACTGTAAACCCAAGAGGTGAGTGCACACACCTGTTTTCCTTTTTGCAACAAAAAAAACCGGATTCTGCATTATTGATATGGCCTACTGTTGCATGACGTGGCAGCAGATTCAAGTGGTGGAAAGTACATGTACTCAAGTTTTGTGATTAATTACGTATAATTACACTTGAGGTGTTTGAGTATTTCGATGTATTCCTGTTATAATACATGCATTTACTTGGTATGTCCCCTCTGGATTTATTACACAGTATTAAAAAAGTAATATAGAATTAGCTCCAAATTGACAAACATTAAAATGTTCTTACATGATGTACCTATGTATTTGACAATAACAGAATAGTATAATATTCAATAATAATGTAATAGCATTCTGTGAAAAGAGCCATTCTGCATACTGAGTACTTTTTTATTTAGTTGATAATACTTATGTACTTTTAAATAAATAACTTTGACTTGTAATGGAGATTTGTTGACTGCAGTATTTCATTTTTTACTTTCTTGAAAGGTGAAGTAAGTTACTGACTTTCTATTCAATCTGAATTGTACAGCGCTGTCAGCTGTGTTTTAGTTGCATGTGCCAACCACCAGATATATGTCCCGTTTGGAAAAGACTCTCTGTAGTGCCAGTGTGTTTCCTAATTATAGTTAAGTATGTGGATGTGGTGGGAAATCTGCAAAATCCCATGAAACCTAAAGAGTCACACTGGGATATATTTAGTTGATAACATCAGTCGGCTCATTACTCATTCAGTCATCAGTCAAAGAATCCAGTAAATGATGGCAGTGAGGCTGCACAAAATAAACAGTCCTAAAATGAACTCTGATGCAGAACTTTTTCTATGTCAAGACACTTATTTATAGCTGCAGAAACATCAGGAGGGTTTTAAGGACAAGTAGTCTTCAGGCCATTTCCCTGAACACTTTATTTAACATGACAAGCATTTCATCTGCATTGTATTTCTCTTTCTAATAAGAGATTATTTAATCATGTGTTGCAAAAAACTTGTGCTTTATCATCTTGGTACTCGGATCAAGTTCAAATCAGATGCATCTGACCAACAATTTACCCAGAATTACACGATCTTCTGCGAAAAAAAAGATTTAAAATGCTTTTTTATTAAACAGTCATTTTGTTATTTTGTCTTCTACTTTAAAGAGTCCTCTCCTGCTGATGTTCAGGTGTATATCAGTATGCAGTGTCTCTACTTTAAAGAGTCCTCTCCTGCTGATGTTCAGGTGTATATCAGTATGTAGTGTCTCTACTTTAAAGAGTCCTCTCCTGCTGATGTTCAGGTGTATATCAGTATGTAGTGTCTCTACTTTAAAGAGTCCTCTCCTGCTGATGTTCAGGTGTATATCAGTATGTAGTGTCTCTACTTTAAAGAGTCCTCTCCTGCTGATGTTCAGGTGTATATCAGTATGCAGTGTCTCTACTTTAAAGAGTGCTCTCCTGCTGATGTTCAGGTGTATATCAGCATGTAGTGTCTCTACTTTAAAGAGTCCTCTCCTGCTGATGTTCAGGTGTATATCAGTATGTTGTGTCTCTACTTTAAAGAGTCCTCTCCTGCTGATGTTCAGGTGTATATCAGTATGTAGTGTCTCTACTTTAAAGAGTCCTCTCCTGCTGATGTTCAGGTGTATATCAGTATGTAGTGTCTCTACTTTAAAGAGTCCTCTCCTGCTGATGTTCAGGTGTATATCAGTATGCATGTGTCTCTACTTTAAAGAGTGCTCTCCTGCTGATGTTCAGGTGTATATCAGTATGTAGTGTCTCTACTTTAAAGAGTCCTCTCCTGCTGATGTTCAGGTGTATATCAGTATGCAGTGTCTCTACTTTAAAGAGTGCTCTCCTGCTGATGTTCAGGTGTATATCAGTATGTAGTGTCTCTACTTTAAAGAGTCCTCTCCTGCTGATGTTCAGGTGTATATCAGTATGTAGTGTCTCTACTTTAAAGAGTCCTCTCCTGCTGATGTTCAGGTGTATATCCGTATGCAGTGTCTCTACTTTAAAGAGTGCTCTCCTGCTGATGTTCAGGTGTATATCAGTATGTAGTGTCTCTACTTTAAAGAGTCCTCTCCTGCTGATGTTCAGGTGTATATCAGTATGCAGTGTCTCTACTTTAAAGAGTGCTCTCCTGCTGATGTTCAGGTGTATATCAGTATGTAGTGTATCTACTTTAAAGAGTCCTCTCCTGCTGATGTTCAGGTGTATATCAGTATGTAGTGTCTCTACTTTAAAGAGTCCTCTCCTGCTGATGTTCAGGTGTATATCCGTATGCAGTGTCTCTACTTTAAAGAGTGCTCTCCTGCTGATGTTCAGGTGTATATCAGTATGTAGTGTCTCTACTTTAAAGAGTCCTCTCCTGCTGATGTTCAGGTGTATATCAGTATGTAGTGTCTCTACTTTAAAGAGTCCTCTCCTGCTGATGTTCAGGTGTATATCAGTATGCAGTGTCTCTACTTTAAAGAGTCCTCTCCTGCTGATGTTCAGGTGTATATCAGCATGTAGTGTCTCTACTTTAAAGAGTCCTCTCCTGCTGATGTTCAGGTGTATATCAGTATGTAGTGTCTCTACTTTAAAGAGTGCTCTCCTGCTGATGTTCAGGTGTATATCAGTATGCAGTGTCTCTACTTTAAAGAGTGCTCTCCTGCTGATGTTCAGGTGTATATCAGTGTGTAGTGTCTCTACTTTAAAGAGTCCTCTCCTGCTGATGTTCAGGTGTATATCAATATGTAGTGTCTCTACTTTAAAGAGTCCTCTCCTGCTGATGTTCAGGTGTATATCAGTGTGTAGTGTCTCTACTTTAAAGAGTCCTCTCCTGCTGATGTTCAGGTGTATATCAGTATGTAGTGTCTCTACTTTAAAGAGTCCTCTCCTGCTGATGTTCAGGTGTATATCAGTATGTAGTGTCTCTACTTTAAAGAGTCCTCTCCTGCTGATGTTCAGGTGTATATCAGTATGTAGTGTCTCTACTTTAAAGAGTGCTCTCCAGCTGATGTTCAGGTGTATATTAGTATGCAGTGTCTCTACTTTAAAGAGTGCTCTCCTGCTGATGTTCAGGTCAGTATGTAGTGTATCTACTTTAAAGAGTCCTCTCCTGCTGATGTTCAGGTGTATATCAGTATGTAGTGTCTCTACTTTAAAGAGTCCTCTCCTGCTGATGTTCAGGTGTATATCCGTATGCAGTGTCTCTACTTTAAAGAGTGCTCTCCTGCTGATGTTCAGGTGTATATCAGTATGTAGTGTCTCTACTTTAAAGAGTCCTCTCCTGCTGATGTTCAGGTGTATATCAGTATGCAGTGTCTCTACTTTAAAGAGTGCTCTCCTGCTGATGTTCAGGTGTATATCAGTATGTAGTGTCTCTACTTTAAAGAGTCCTCTCCTGCTGATGTTCAGGTGTATATCAGTATGTAGTGTCTCTACTTTAAAGAGTCCTCTCCTGCTGATGTTCAGGTGTATATCCGTATGCAGTGTCTCTACTTTAAAGAGTGCTCTCCTGCTGATGTTCAGGTGTATATCAGTATGTAGTGTCTCTACTTTAAAGAGTCCTCTCCTGCTGATGTTCAGGTGTATATCAGTATGTAGTGTCTCTACTTTAAAGAGTCCTCTCCTGCTGATGTTCAGGTGTATATCAGTATGCAGTGTCTCTACTTTAAAGAGTCCTCTCCTGCTGATGTTCAGGTGTATATCAGCATGTAGTGTCTCTACTTTAAAGAGTCCTCTCCTGCTGATGTTCAGGTGTATATCAGTATGCAGTGTCTCTACTTTAAAGAGTGCTCTCCTGCTGATGTTCAGGTGTATATCAGTATGCAGTGTCTCTACTTTAAAGAGTCCTCTCCTGCTGATGTTCAGGTGTATATCAGTGTGTAGTGTCTCTACTTTAAAGAGTCCTCTCCTGCTGATGTTCAGGTGTATATCAATATGTAGTGTCTCTACTTTAAAGAGTCCTCTCCTGCTGATGTTCAGGTGTATATCAGTGTGTAGTGTCTCTACTTTAAAGAGTCCTCTCCTGCTGATGTTCAGGTGTATATCAGTATGTAGTGTCTCTACTTTAAAGAGTCCTCTCCTGCTGATGTTCAGGTGTATATCAGTATGTAGTGTCTCTACTTTAAAGAGTCCTCTCCTGCTGATGTTCAGGTGTATATCAGTATGTAGTGTCTCTACTTTAAAGAGTCCTCTCCTGCTGATGTTCAGGTGTATATCCGTATGCAGTGTCTCTACTTTAAAGAGTGCTCTCCTGCTGATGTTCAGGTGTATATCAGTATGTAGTGTCTCTACTTTAAAGAGTCCTCTCCTGCTGATGTTCAGGTGTATATCAGTATGTAGTGTCTCTACTTTAAAGAGTCCTCTCCTGCTGATGTTCAGGTGTATATCAGTATGCAGTGTCTCTACTTTAAAGAGTCCTCTCCTGCTGATGTTCAGGTGTATATCAGCATGTAGTGTCTCTACTTTAAAGAGTCCTCTCCTGCTGATGTTCAGGTGTATATCAGTATGCAGTGTCTCTACTTTAAAGAGTGCTCTCCTGCTGATGTTCAGGTGTATATCAGTATGCAGTGTCTCTACTTTAAAGAGTGCTCTCCTGCTGATGTTCAGGTGTATATCAGTGTGTAGTGTCTCTACTTTAAAGAGTCCTCTCCTGCTGATGTTCAGGTGTATATCAATATGTAGTGTCTCTACTTTAAAGAGTCCTCTCCTGCTGATGTTCAGGTGTATATCAGTGTGTAGTGTCTCTACTTTAAAGAGTCCTCTCCTGCTGATGTTCAGGTGTATATCAGTATGTAGTGTCTCTACTTTAAAGAGTCCTCTCCTGCTGATGTTCAGGTGTATATCAGTATGTAGTGTCTCTACTTTAAAGAGTCCTCTCCTGCTGATGTTCAGGTGTATATCAGTATGTAGTGTCTCTACTTTAAAGAGTCCTCTCCTGCTGATGTTCAGGTGTATATCAGTATGCAGTGTCTCTACTTTAAAGAGTGCTCTCCTGCTGATGTTCAGGTGTATATCAGTATGTAGTGTCTCTACTTTAAAGAGTCCTCTCCTGCTGATGTTCAGGTGTATATCAGTATGTAGTGTCTCTACTTTAAAGAGTCCTCTCCTGCTGATGTTCAGGTGTATATCCGTATGCAGTGTCTCTACTTTAAAGAGTGCTCTCCTGCTGATGTTCAGGTGTATATCAGTATGTAGTGTCTCTACTTTAAAGAGTCCTCTCCTGCTGATGTTCAGGTGTATATCAGTATGCAGTGTCTCTACTTTAAAGAGTGCTCTCCTGCTGATGTTCAGGTGTATATCAGTATGTAGTGTCTCTACTTTAAAGAGTCCTCTCCTGCTGATGTTCAGGTGTATATCAGTATGTAGTGTCTCTACTTTAAAGAGTCCTCTCCTGCTGATGTTCAGGTGTATATCCGTATGCAGTGTCTCTACTTTAAAGAGTGCTCTCCTGCTGATGTTCAGGTGTATATCAGTATGTAGTGTCTCTACTTTAAAGAGTCCTCTCCTGCTGATGTTCAGGTGTATATCAGTATGTAGTGTCTCTACTTTAAAGAGTCCTCTCCTGCTGATGTTCAGGTGTATATCAGTATGCAGTGTCTCTACTTTAAAGAGTCCTCTCCTGCTGATGTTCAGGTGTATATCAGCATGTAGTGTCTCTACTTTAAAGAGTCCTCTCCTGCTGATGTTCAGGTGTATATCAGTATGCAGTGTCTCTACTTTAAAGAGTGCTCTCCTGCTGATGTTCAGGTGTATATCAGTATGCAGTGTCTCTACTTTAAAGAGTCCTCTCCTGCTGATGTTCAGGTGTATATCAGTGTGTAGTGTCTCTACTTTAAAGAGTCCTCTCCTGCTGATGTTCAGGTGTATATCAATATGTAGTGTCTCTACTTTAAAGAGTCCTCTCCTGCTGATGTTCAGGTGTATATCAGTGTGTAGTGTCTCTACTTTAAAGAGTCCTCTCCTGCTGATGTTCAGGTGTATATCAGTATGTAGTGTCTCTACTTTAAAGAGTCCTCTCCTGCTGATGTTCAGGTGTATATCAGTATGTAGTGTCTCTACTTTAAAGAGTCCTCTCCTGCTGATGTTCAGGTGTATATCAGTATGTAGTGTCTCTACTTTAAAGAGTCCTCTCCTGCTGATGTTCAGGTGTATATCAGTATGTAGTGTCTCTACTTTAAAGAGTCCTCTCCTGCTGATGTTCAGGTGTATATCAGTTTCAGGCAGTGGGTGTGTGGGAGAGAAACTCCCTATGGACGGAACACAGGGATTTTAGCCTCTACAGACCATTTACATGCACTAAAACCTTTAGAACACACTACAGGAGAGGGAAAACCCCCAAAAGCTGAATAGTGCCTCTTTCAAGTGAATGCCTTATTAATGTAAACAGCTGTGATTTACACCAGAAGATGTCACTGTTCTACAGAGAATCCACATTTTTCTTAAATGCAATGTTCTGTTTTCCTTCCCTGCAGCATGGAGGTGGTTCTGTCCTGCGCTCCTCAGGAGGAAGAGGAGGAGGCGGATGTGGGTCTCCAGCTGAAGGTGAGCTTCACGGAGAAGACCGTGCAGAGAAACGCTCGTGTGGCCGGGAAGTGGGGACGGCCTGAAACTACACTTTCATACTTTCCCTTTGCAGCCGGAGAATCCTTCAAGGTACGTTTATAACCTCTGATATTTGTACAAGCCTAAGTAATGGCAGGTGTAAAGTAACTAAGTACATATACCCAAGTACTGTACCTAAGTACAATGTTTAGGTACTTAAAGGTGGGGTAGGTAAGTTTGAGAAACCGGCTCGAGATACACTTTTTGTTATATTCCATGGAATGCTCTTAACATCCCGATCGCAATGAATATCTGAAGTGCTTTGACAAAAAATCCATAAAAAAATGTCATCTGTGGAAGCGCTGTAAAAAGCTCGACCAATCATCTGAGCCGGCCCGGCTAAAGTAACTGGATGGCCTACCTGCCTGTCAGCCTTCCATCTGTGCACTAACTTATCTCGTGCCCTCATTGGTCATGTGCGCGTTCGTGTGTGTTGGAGGAGGGGCTCTGTAAGGAAGTGGCAGATTTTTTCCGGTTGTGTATTTTCAAATTCTAGCGCACTCGAGCTGGTTTCAAAATGACCTACCCCACCTTTAAGTACAGTACTTGAGTATTTCCATATTATGCTACTTCATACTTCTCCTACAATTCAGAGGTAAAGGTTAATTACTCCACTACATGTATTTAATCCCTTTAGTTACTTTACAGATGTGGATGAATGATGTGAAATATAATCAAGTGTTGAATCAGACTTTAGTTCCACCTGGAGTAAATCCACCAGCTACCCTGCAGTATACAAAGTCATTCAAACAGCTGCACCTTCACCAGCTTTGAGAACACTTTCATGATCAATCATTATAAAACACATCATATATATTATTCTGAAATGGACCAATGTGCACAATGACTGCTTTTACTGTCGCTACTTTCACTATATTTTGATGAGAATACTTTTCTACTTTTACTTGAGGAACATTTTGAATGCAGGACTTTTACTGTAACAGAGTATTCCTACACTCTGGTACTTCTACTTTTACTCAAGTACAAGATCTGAGTTCTTCTCCCACCTCTGAACCAATGCACTTAAAGTATCAAAAGGTGAAGTACTCATTATGCAGAATGATCCCTGTCAGTGTTGCATTAATGCATTGAACAGAGGTTAAGATAATACCTACTTCAACAATGGAATATACAATAAATATGGCAAATAAAATATTGCAAAACAGCTTACAACTTCTTCCTCTAGCAATTCAATATACTTAAGCTATTATTGTAATGCCTTGTGTGTGTAAACCTGATCTGATCGTTTTTTTCCCAATTAAAACATTGTTAGTGAGGAATCAGCTCTGCCAACACTGACACAATCTGTCTACACTGCCTGTGTTTTAATATGTTCTTTTTGTTGTATTTGTTTTGTTTTGTTGTTCTGTTTTGTCTTTTTATCAACATTTCCAGTACTGTATGTTGCATGTTTTTATTTTATTGTATTTACTTTTTTTTTCTTTAGGGTGACTTAAAAAATCTGTCCAGGGACTACAGATGAAAAATAGCCTCTGTGCTAACTCTGGCACATTTACAGAAATGTTGATTAATGTTCAAATAAATAAATATTCTCCGCTCTTCCCTTTTCTTCAGATGGAGATTGTGTGTGAGCACCAGCAGTTTCGTATTTTAATAGACGGCCAGCCTCTGTGTGGTTTCACCCACCGTGCCCTCCCGCTCGCCTCCCTCACCGCCTTACACGTCTCCGGAGACCTGCAGCTCACCAAGGTGGCTTAGCACTAACGAAGAAGAATGAGGACAGTAAACATACATTTAGCGACTTTTTGGAGTGAAAAATTAGCCCTTTATGGGAAAAACAAAGTGACACCTGCCTCGTAATCACGTGTAAAAGTGCCTTCACTAGATTACCTGTCAGGGACTTAACGACTGAATGTCTTAAAACAGACTGAGGAATGTGATTCGTGCTCTAAACTGAAATATATTTCCCCCTTTCCTGATTAAAAATGATTAGGGACACGTGCATTTTTCAAAAGATATGACCAAAAGGGATTTTTTTTTTTTTTAGTTCAGAGATTACAGTCAAAATTCTGTTTTTAAAGTCAACTTTCTGAGTAAAAAAATCAACATTTTGAGAAAAAAAGTCAGAATTCTGAGATTAAAAACCCAATTCAATTCAGAGAAATTCAGAAATCTGAGATCAAATCCTGAATTCCGAGAAAATAATTGAATCTTGTGGAAAAAAAGTCTGAATACTGGGAACATTTCTTCACACTGAATCCTAGAAATCTGAAAAAAAAGTCAGAATTTGGGAGAAAATCTGAATTCTTCCAGGAATCCTAACTTTTTTTCACATAATTCCGACTTTGATCTCAAAATTCCACCAAAAATGCATTCACTTTTGGTCACATCTAAAAAAAATATTCACATGTGGTCATCATGCGTTTAACTTTAAATCCAAAAATGGATTTCTCTGGGGTTAAACTCTGAAAGCACTTACGTTTACGAGCGCCTGCATGACGATGAACGTTTCTGGACTGATTGTAACTCTGTGCCCAAACGAGTTCTGTAACAGGTGTCATAATAATATTGTAATTTAGCCTTAGTGCATGTTAGTGATACACACAGTTACAAAAAAGAAGCCCTGATAATTTCCTAAAACTGCTGTATGATTAATTTCCAAAAGTGCATTTGTTGTAGGTTTCCCATTTGATATATAACCGGCTCTGGATACTGTATACATTAGTACTTTTTATTATTGGATCATTATCACTTTTGCAAAGCTGTGTGTACTTTTCTTTAACCCTTAGCACTTTTTAAATGAATGTTTCATATTGACTTCACGCCAATAAATCACCTTTTGTTGATTTATTTTGTTGTTTTTCTGCTTTGTTGTTCACTCACTGTGCAGCGTCATAGATTTCTGAGGTGTCACTCATGATTTCAACTGGAATCATGCTGTAATCTGAGTCATGCAGATGCAGTCTGGGCTTGGTTGGAGAGTGGGAGTGCCTGTCTGTGATTGTGATAAATATCTCCTGAGGCTTTTCTTGTCTCTGCCTGCACCTTTTCCGCGTGTCAGGTCATTTGCTGACAGAAATGTACAACATCAAACTATAACAAATATTCCACTGAGGGTTCCTGCAGGGTTAGAGCTCCTATACAGCTTAAGGAAAGTTGGATTTAAGACTTTATTAATGCCATTTAGAAGGACATTTAAACTACATGTCCGTGCAATTTTGAAGCATTTCTTGAACTCCGTGACATTAATGCGTTTTGTAAGTATATTTTCATATTACATTACATTTATATAACATGTTGTTTTAGGTAAAACTGTTCATCTGGAAATTAATAAATACAGCTGTCATAAATAATATTTCAGTCAGACAACTCACGTGTTTCTTTAACATGTTTATTAGAAGCAGCATATAGTTGAGTTAGGCGTCTAGGCTCGGGCCTCATCGCTCCACAGATATACAAAGCACGATGAGTGATGATAAATAACTAACCCCCCGAGCCTACAGGTGGAAGCTGGGGTGGAAGCTGGGGTGGACGCTGGGGTGGAAGCTGGGGTGGACGCTGGGTTGGAAGCTGGGTGGACGCTGGGGTGGAAGCTGGGGTGGAAGCTGGGGTGGACGCTGGGGTGGAAGCTGGGGTGGACGCTGGGTTGGAAGCTGGGTGGACGCTGGGGTGGAAGCTGGGGTGGACGCTGGGGTGGACGCTGGGGTGGAAGCTGGGATGGAAGCTGGGGTGGACGCTGGGTTGGAAGCTGGGGTGGAAGCTGGGGTGGAAGCTGGGATGGAAGCTGGGGTGGAAGCTGGGGTGGACGCTGGGGTGGACGCTGGGGTGGACGCTGGGGTGGAAGCTGGGGTGGACGCTGGGGTGGAAGCTGGGATGGAAGCTGGGGTGGACGCTGGGGTGGAAGCTGGGATGGAAGCTGGGGTGGAAGCTGGGGTGGAAGCTGGGGTGGAAGCTGGGATGGAAGCTGGGATGGAAGCTGGGGTGGACGCTGGGGTGGTGGTGGGGCAGGCAAGCCGCAGCGACGTGGAAGTAGCTGCAGCAAAGCAGCAGCAAGCAATGCATGGAGAGAGATCTGGCAGGTTCAATAGAGCGGCATATTAAGGAGACTCTGTTTGGTTGGTTGTAGAGTGGCAAGGGGCGTTATGTATGAATGCAGCATAGGTGCTCGAGTTGACTGCCTGAACTAGCTCTCGCAGGCTTCGCCCCATTAGTGGAGCAAAAAACATTAAAAAAAGTAATCTCCTTTTCAACACTGGTTTCTGGAGTTATTTATTTGTTTAAATAGTGGAGAATAAATGTCAAATGATTTATGGTTTAATAATGTAAATACTGCATGTTGCAACACACGTTTATTTGTGTTAACACACTGAAATATTACAAGACAAATTACTACAAATAAAACATTCCTCCTTGCAAGCACTTAAAAATACATAATATTAAAACTGAAATGATTGACATTACATTACAGTACATGTTAGTTTTTAGACGCTTTTATCCAAAGCGACTTACATACTCAATACTGTGGACAATCACCACAGGAGCAATTTGGGGTGAAGAGTCTCAGGGACACAACGACATGCTGACTGCAGTGGGGTTTGAACCTGTAACTGATCCAGACACCAACGCACAACCCACTGCACCACAGCCCTCCCTTTTATTTATGGTCAAATAATGAAAAACATGTACATGGTGCAGACAGAGACACAGTTAAAGGAGATAAAAAGTAAGGAAACTCAAATATTATATATATATAGAAAATGATTTACATGAAATCTGGATAAAATAAAAAACTAGTTGCAAATCAAATATGTGCATTGTTGCTATGGAAGTGGATGAGAGGTGAAAAATACTGGACAATCAAACTGAAATGATTTATGGTTAAATAATGAAAAATGTGTAAAACACATGAAAACACTTTAATAGTACACTAAAGGTGAATTTCCTACGACTTATGTGCTTTTAAAATCCTCCTTTTACGATCTTTAGAATACTGAATAATCAAACTGAAATTATTTAAGGTTAAATAATAAACATTAACTTAACATTTTAACTCAAACTGAGATATTAAAGGCAAATTTCTTCCGACTTCTGTGCTTTTAGAGCAGGGGTGTCAAACTCAATTTCATCGCGGGCCACATTAGAATTATGGTTGCACTCAAAGGGCTGGTGGTAACTTTAAGACTATATAAATATACATAGATAAATATACATAATATATATATATATATAAAAGAATGTATTATTTTACAATATTTCCTCTGCATTGGATTATTATCGGATAGGGTAATAACTTAATAATTAACTACGCCTGAAAGCAGAAGTCGAGTAAGTAATTGCAGTGCGCATCTCACAAAATGAGATGCATTGTGGGACATGTCGTTTATGGGCAACGTGCTCCTGAAGCGGCACGTGACCTTATAATAAACGTATTATATTATTTGTAAGCTCTTGTGGGGCCACATCAAATGAAGTGGCAGGCCGGATTTGGCCCCCGGGCCTTGAGTTTGACACCCCTGTTTTAGAGCCTTTAAATCCTCATTTTAAAACTTGAAATACTGAATAATCAACTTGAAAGCACTTTGATTTTAGAGATGGAAAATCTGAAATGTTCTTAACCACTAACACTTTCCTTTTTAAATTGCATGGCCCTCGTCTCTCCTGCTACAGTTTACATTCATGGAATGTGTAAAGTCTTTCTTCTCTATAGCTGCATAATTAAAACAGTTTTGACCCGCTGCTCTATGTGTGCTGTCGGATGGCCTCGATCCAGTCCATCTTCTGCTGCTGAGTCGGAGCCTGGATGAAGTAATGAGTGTCCTCCTGAGTGATGATCTTGAACAGGTTGCCCTGAATGTTTCCTTTAACACCTGATTGGTAGAAAGAATCACAGTCAATCAAGAAGACAAGCATCAGGAAGACAGTGCAGTTACAACACAATGTGTCTTCTGAGATAGTGGATCCTGAGTCCTGGATCCTTGATCCTGAGTCCTGAGTTGTGGCTGAGCATCTGGACCACCTATGTTGTAAATGTATTATCTTTTCAATTTACACACAACATCTATTGTACGTCTGTCCGTCCTGACTCCTGGGAGAGGGATCCTCCTGTGTTGATCTCCTCGAGGTTTCTAACATGTTTCCCCCCGTTAATTGGGGGTTTTCTTCCGTTAATTGGGGGTTTTCTTCCGTTAATTGGGGGGTTTTCTTCCGTCAATTGGGGGGTTTCTCCCATTAACTGGGGGGGTTTCTTTTTAAGGGTTTCCTTGTCCCATGTGAGGGTCCACTCCAAGGACAGTCAAAGTCAAAGTTAACTTTATTGTCAATCTCCAAATATGTTTGTACACACAGAAAGATCGAAATACTGTTTCTCACAGTCCCGAGGTATAAAAAAACTCACACATTAAAATGCAAGAACACTTTAATTTACAAAAAAAACACAAAATAGCCGTTTACTTCAAGTAAGCAGGATATATATAAAAAAGATGATGTACATAGTCCTCTGTTTCAGAGGGGGTCGTATTCATATTCAAGTCCACTGAGACAAATGTAGGATATGTGGGATATTGGGCTTTATAAATACACTTTAATTGATTGATTGATTGATGGGTTGATTTTCCTCCCAGACATAAACAAACCCGAGTCGAAAAATCGACCACAAAGCCATTCGTTCTGATCACTCATCACATGAATGACTTGAATAAAATGCAGACGTTGACTCACCCGAGGGAACTCCGTTATCTCCGAGCGAGGAAACCAGACATGCTCTCAGAGAGAAGCCGCCCACGGGACTGATGTCATCCTGGAGAGAAAGTGACGTAATGTAAGACAGGAAGTGAAAAACACAGAATCATGAGTAATGAGGACTGCAGAGTCACAGCCGACCTGCTTTATTAAACATGTCAAATATAACAATAATACAACTAATGTGTGTTTTTAAGATTTTTTAAATTAATTTTTTATATAAATAGAAAATAATTAAGAAATACATTTAATTTTGTATTGTGCGTTTGAATACTGAGAAAAGCACTATATAATAATAATATAACATTTGTTTTTATTTAACCTTCAAACACATTTACAATAAAACAGAACCATTTCAAAAATGTGTTTCTTTATGTATTGCTTCGTCCTCACCTTGGTGGGGTCGTAGTAGTGGAGGTACGCCGGCTCTGAGCGAAGAACGAACAGACGGACCTTCCAGTTCTTCCTCCTGTGACCCTGAGGGCAGAGGTGGGAGAAGTACTCAGCTCTTATACTTCAGTAAAAGTAGAAGTACTCAGATCTTGTACTTGAGTAAAAGCAGAAGTACTCATATCTTCTATTTGAGTAAAAGTAGAAGTACTCAGATCTTATACTTCAGTAAAAGTAGAAGTACTCAGATCTTATACTTCAGTAAAAGTAGAAGTACTCAGATCTTATACTTCAGTAAAAGTAGAAGTACTCAGATCTTGTACTTGAGTAAAAGCAGAAGTACTCAGATCTTCTATTTGAGTAAAAGTAGAAGTACTCAGATCTTGTACTTGAGTAAAAGTAGAAGTACCAGAGTGTAGGAATACCCTTACAAGTTAAAAGTCAAAGTCCTGCATTCAAAATGTTACTCAGGTAAAAGTAGAAAAGTATTATCATCAAAATATAGTTAAAGTAGCGACAGTAAAGGTACTCGATTGTACTTGAGTAAAAGCACCCAGTGTGTCTCACTTCTTTCATCAGACGGGGACAAACGCAAAACACATTTTTCAAAACCTTCAATTCATCAAAACATTCTCCATTCCTCTGGGTTCTTCACTCACCGCGGAGGAACGAGAGAAAGACTATGTTTTATTCAAGAGTTCAAAGTTAAAATGGATAAGTGATCCACATACAAATAATAATTTTGTGGGTGAAGTTTTCCTTGATTTACTTTGTATTGCAATTGATTTATTAGCAGGCCTATAGTGTGTACCTGTTTGAGTAGATATCCTCTCTTGATCACTTTCCCACTGAGCTCCACTGCAGACATTGAGGTCTCGGCCTTCACGCTGCCTCTCTTCTTCAAGCTGTCAGACTGGGATTCAGGAGAAACATGGATTAGATATAATTAATCTCTCTATATATGTAGATATTCTTCCTGCAGAGACCCAGTGTTAGAAAAATATCACTGGTCCCCGGCTTGATCTTCAACCTCAGGATCCATGTATCTGTGATCCTCTCCAGAATGGAAGTAGTCTTCACATACAGAGCATCAACTAGTTCCTGAACAGTGTCCTTCACATGCTGATATCCAAGAGAGGGAGTTACACAGTCACAAGATGGAGGAATAGAAAGCAGTATTCAATGTTTACTTCAGATTAGCTCCACGTCAGAAATGAGCATGCTTGTCATATGTCTATCTCCATAGAGGCTGAATCATCATGTTAATCACATAGCTATCATATGCCTCAAACAGTCCGTATGCTCTTCTAGGTAATCACACATCCTGGCATGTACTCAGCTACAGTTGGGATACCTTTGTTATCATGTTACTCTGATATTGGAAGAGTACATTCAGTATTTTCCCAACACCAAGGTACTCACGAAGCTGTAGAGAGCGGTGGAGTCGTCCATGAAGTGCTCCGTGAGTCCGGCGGTTCTCAGCGCCTCCACGCTCTTCAGACCGACGGGCCACAGGAAGCTCTCCTCCTGCAGGGCGGAGGCCAGAGTCAGAGCCTCCACGCGGGTCAGAGCCAGCTGAGAGAACACCAGCCAGTCCACCACCACAGAGCCTGGGGGGGGGGGGGGGGGGGGGGGCATCAGCGTTACACAGATAGGGCAAAAGTACACACATCTTTTAATCAAGTAGAAGTATAGATACTCGTTTTTAAAAATACTCTGGTAAGAAGTACTGACTAAACTTCTTTACTCAAGTAAAAGTAAAGAGGCTTTGAAATGTACTTCAGTAAAAAGTACCCATAACTAGCAGCTGTTTTAAAGAGTACCTGACCTCCCTTTATATTAATAGAACAATAATGTCATTGTTAGCTAATGAATGTTTCCATGCTGAACAACGGCAACATGACAACGTTTCCATTGGTCCCTCTTCTTTAGAGAAGACCAGGAAATGATGGATACACGGATCGTGTTCAAATCAATAGGCACGCAATGACTCTAAAGAATAATGATCACGCATCAAACACACATTCAGACTAAAGGAACCAGCTGTTTGGGAAATGAGAGAAGTAGAAAGTACAGGTATTTGAGTTCAACATGTAAGAAGTAGAAAGTACAGGTATTTGGGTTCAACATGTAAGAAGTAGAAAGTACAGGTATTTGGGTTCAACATGTAAGAAGTAGAAAGTACAGGTATTTGGGTTCAACATGTAAGAAGTAGAAAGTACAGGTATTTGTGTTCAACATGTAAGAAGTAGAAAGTACAGGTATTTGTGTTCAACATGTAAGAAGTAGAAAGTACAGGTATTTGTGTTCAACATGTAAGAAGTAGAAAGTACAGGTATTTGGGTTAAAATGTAAGAAGTCAAAGTGAAAAGTCGTCAGAAAGATAAGTAGTGGAGTAAAGTACTGATACCAGAAACATGTACTTAAGTACAGTAACGAAGTATTTGTACTCCACTACTTCCCACCTCTGGCGTTACACACCGGGGTCAGGACTCAAGGTCACTGCAGTTTCTCTGTTAGGGCACCAGTTTTATCCCACAGGCCTCAAGACTTCTTCTTGTAGTCTAAGTAAGATATAGGTCATTTAAAAAGAGGATATTATAAAGGCGTACCTGAGAAACAGTTGCTGTACGAGCTGCCGTGATCCAAGTGGTTTCCCATCTTGATTCCACTGTGCACGTCATACATGGACTCCAGCACTTTGCTAAAAAACAGACAAATCATCAGAAATATGGCGTTGGTGAAAAGGTTAAACACAGTTTTCAAAAGCCTCACATCAGATTGATGTCGTGCAGCTGGGATCCTGTAGTAGTAGTTTGCAGATTTGGCCCTTTCACACCTTCGGGGCCCCGCAGTTTCTCCGTGGCGGCGCTGATATCTCCCGCCCAGTCATCCCTCTCCTCCCGGGAACAAGCCTCCAGGAAATGATCCACGCCATTCTTCGTCCGGAGCTTGATCACCAGCTGGAAACAGATACACAGAAAGGAGATTTATAGTTGGTGGATTCGGCCAAGAAGTGGAAGGCAAATCGTTCCTCAGAGTTCAGGTCCTGACAAAACCGTATCCTGAGGCGAAACAGGAGGAGAGTTGGTGAAGACGCACCTTACTGTGGTTTCTAACCATTAAAACATAAACAAAGGAAACATCTGATACAATATGCACCTATTTAGGAGGCTGTGGCTCAGTGGTTTGGTGCACTGATCTTGAGGGGGTTCAATCCCCACTGCAGACGGCATGCCGTTGTGTCCTTGGGCAAGACACTTCACCCTAAATTGCTCCTGTGAGTCGCTTTGGGTAATGTAATGTAATTTATGCATGTGTAATCTCATAATGTGAATTCAAATGTGCAAATATATATATATCTGCAAATAGATTATTTTAGTAAAGTTTTAAGAAATATTTTACCAATTTATTAAGGAATATTAATTCGTTTTTTATATATAATTGATTTCCTTTTATTTTATTTTTTTTGTCTTATTTAAAAAAAATGAAATAAGTAACAAACATATTTTTAATACATTAAATAAACGACGGGAAAGTTGTGATCATGGGATAAGCTGCACGGGACTTTTTTTCACATAAATAATAATAATAATTAAATATAATTAATTTCAATTCAAAAATATATATATATAGAATTAACAAAAAAATAAAATAATAATTGTAAAATAATCTATTTTTTTGTGTCTTTAAAAAAGGTTTGAGTCCTTAAATCTGGATGAACTCACCGGTCGGTTTTCATAGTCCAGGAAAGGAGAAGTGATCCCGCAGTCCTTCAGGAGGATCTTCCCTCGCTGGCACGAGTCTCTTTTTCCTCCGTCGTATTTAAAATACAGAAGCTTGTCCGGCATCAAAACGAACCAGCGCGGCTTCCAGTTGTGGACGAGATGACCCTGAGAGGAAATCATCAGAAGAAATCAAACCAGAGGAAGGAGAAGTACTCAGATCTGGTAGTAAAAGTAGAAGTACTCAGAACGTGTACTTGAGTAAAAGTAGAAGAAGTACTCAGATCTTGTACTAGAGTAAAAGTAGAAGTACTCAGATCCTGTACTAGAGTAAAAGTAGAAGTACTCAGATCTTGTACTTGAGTAAAAGTAGAAGTACTCAGATCTTGTACTAGAGTAAAAGTAGAAGTACTCAGATCTTGTACTTGAGTAAAAGTAGAAGTACTCAGAATGTGTACTTGAGTAAAAGTAGAAGTACTCAGATCTTGTACTTGTCTTGTACTTCAGTAGAAGTAGAAGTACTCAGATCTGGTACTTGAGTAAAAGTAGAAGTGCTCAGATCTTGTACTTGTCTTGTACTTCAGTAGAAGTAGAAGTACTCAGATCTGGTACTTGAGTAAAATTAGAAGTACTCAGATCTGGTACTTGAGTAAAAGTAGAAGTACTCAGGTCTGGTACTTGAGTAAAATTCGAAGTACTCAGATCTGGTACTTGAGTAAAAGTAGAAGTACTCAGATCTTGTACTTGAGTAAAAGTAGAAGTAATCAAGTCTTGTACTTGAGTAAAAGTAGAAGTACTCAGATCTTGTACTTGAGTAAAAATAGAAGTACTCAGTAGAAGTAACAGAGTGTAGGAATACTCTGTTACAGTAAAAGTCCTGCATTCAAAATGTTACTCAAGTAAAAGTAGAAAAGTACTATCATTGTACTTAAGTACAGTGAGTAAATGTACTTAGTTACACCTTTACAAAAAGACCCTGCGCTTACAAACAATACATCAGTGTGACATTAGACCATTTGGATTTCAGTGATTAAAGTAAACATCAGCCTAAGAAACAACAACAAAATATATATGGAAACTTTTACTCTCTACTTCATCCCTAATTAAATCTAGACTTGACAGCAGTTATAATATAATGTATTTTTAATGTCTTACCCGCTTCACGAGGAAGCCCTCTCTCAGCGTTGTGTTTTTCTTTGTTTCCATTCTGTTCAGAGTGATCTTGGAAGTGAGCCTGTTCCTGCCTGCTCACCTTTATGAGTGTTTTCTTGTTCAGTGCGTCACCCTGCTCACACCCTAACACACTCACAGCTTCCTGCTCACCGACAGGCTGAATAAATGCTGTAACTTCTGTAAGTTATCACCTGAGGGCGGCAGACTCCTTCAGAGGATCAGTTTGATGGGAGAGGATTGTTCGGTAAAGTCTGAAGTTGCAAGTCATTTATTTTTACTATGCAAGGAGAAGTTGTTCTATAAGACATTAAATTGTACAGAAGTTAATGTACTATTATGTATGTGTTTTTTATTTTCTTAAAGAATATCTTTAGAGACAGATTTTATTTAAATTGATTTTTTAAATTATTATTTTACATTTTTTAAACAAATTATGGGGATAAAATACATCTATTTTAGAAGTATTTTTTTCATAAAGTAATTTATTCTCATTTTTCTTCTTTTAATGTAATTGTTATTAAGTTTTGTTTAATTTTCTACACACAAATTCACTAAATGATATTTCTTGTTTGTGAAATACTACATACAGTAGCAATAAACAGGATTCTGGATCTATATAAATTGAAAATAAAATATACTTATGGTAGACACTAATTATTATAATAACAATTTACATAATACAGGGATGTAATACATGTTTAAACATAACAACCGATAGAACAGCTGTGCAAGACAGCTATCAAGGTTTTTGGCAGAAAGCCAAATTCATACCACCGCTGTACCATCCTTGAAAAACACGATTTCTTGAGTTTTGACAATTTTAAGTCTTTTAAAAGTATGTGTTTTTTTTAATAAATGTTTACATGGACTGTATTTATTTTTGCTATGTATATAAAGGTCATGTTCTTAAATGTTGTATGTGACGGACTACGGATGGATATGAGCTCAAAGCTAAAATCCAGCATATTTACACTTGAAGCATTATTTGTTTTAAGTGTTCATCAATGTGCATTGTCCCTTTTCAAATAAACGATTAAATGAAATGAATATATATGTTTCTACAGATGTAAAGAAGTTGTAAAACAGTAAGAACAAGTATTACCAAAAAAAAGTACATTTACCACACGGATGAGCAGCCTTGGCTCTACCGTAATTTACATGGTGTGTGTTTTGGTAAAAAAAATCTTTCTAAATCTCTAGGGGACTTTCCACCCCATCAGTCCCAGTATGTGAGTGATTCAGATCCAGGAAATGAAGCAGTAGGAAACATCCTCAATCTCTTTTTGATGAACAACCAGCAGCTGGTGGTCTAACCTCTCTGTTCTGTAGCAGCTGCAGCACCAGGAGGAAGAGGAGCAGGAGGAGGAAGAGGAGCAGGTAGAAGTCAGTTAATGAGAAACATGCGGGGGATGGTCCTGAGAGAGGGACTGCAGCCATATGAGGCCCTGCTGCTAATCATCCTCTGATACTTCAGTAGGAAGCTCAGAAATTATGTATTTATAATTCATTCTTTGACTGACATTGTTGGAAACGATTAAGTCATTTTGGATGCTTTGCTAACATAATTGGTACCCTCAAGTAACTATATTGTAACTCGTAAATAACAGATTTTCTTTGGGCCATCTGGGGGCAACAGAAAGAAGCTGCAAATATAGAAACGTACATGCAGCACCAGTGGCGGTTCTAGACCAATTTTACAGCGGGGGCACAATCAAAGCAGGTTAAAAAGACAAAGAAAGTAGGAAGTAATTGTGTAAAATAGACGTTTTGTTTTAGTAACTTTAAGTGACAATTTAATTAAAAAACATAAAAAGTATTTGCTTATATAAGGTAAGGAACAGTTTAATCTCCACTGTACATCCGGGTCTCTGATTTGATTTAGTTCCAATAAATCGTAATATTGTAACCTTTTTTTGGAGGGGGGTCCCTGGTCAGTGTTACGGGGGCACTGGCCCCTGTTGCCCCCCCCAGAACCGCCCCTGTGCAGCACAGCCTTTTAAAGGGGCCATGTTATCCTTTCAAAGGGTTGTCTCTTTCCTGTAGTGTGTCATATAGGTTTGTGTGCATGTTAAAGGTCTGCAAAGGCTAACATCCTTGTTCCCTCCATTTACAGTGAAAGGACATTCGTAGGAGCATGCAGGAACAATGAGGTTGCACAAAACATAATCAATAGCTATATTAAACATTGTATGAGAATACGTTGCACGCCTAAATAAATAAACAATTTTGAATCTCGAAAATACTTTTTCAGCTTTAACCCCTGTTGTCTTCGGGTCAAATCTGACCGATTTACTACTTTCATCGATCATAACTTTTTTGTTTTACATTCGATTGCATTAAGGCTTTATGATATCCTTCACAGTAGACATTTGAACATATGAAATCACCACTTTCATTGAATTTTGGATGATTTAGTCAACTTTGTAACACCCATGGTGTTCCCGGTCAAAAATTACCGGCATAAAGAAAAATAATTACTGTCCATCCGGATCAGATCGGATAACGCACGCACGCACGCACGCACGCACGCACGCACGCACGCACGCACGCACGCACGCACGCACGCACGCACGCACGCACGCACGCACGCACGCACACACACACACACACACACACACACACACACACACACACACACACACACACACACACACACACACACACACACACACACACACACACACACACACACACACACACACACACACACACATTACAGAGCAGCCAGCAGGTTGTCAGCATGTTTATATAAGCTTAGCGGGTCACATATAATTTAATAACCCTTTGTGTTGAATGAAAAGCAGAGGCAGTAGTTTCCTGTAAACGCTGCATTGTGTCTCCCAGGTGAAGGAGGAAAGCATGCCAATATAAGACCAAAGGAATGTGCAGCAGACTCAGCGTGGCAACCGACCAGCAGGGTGTCACGAGAGGAATCTGTTCAGCACGGAGAGGAAATACAAACCCAAATCCTGTTTGTGTGACTCTTAAGCAGCTCAAAGTCAAACACACTCCTCTGACTGCCGAGCGTGAAGTCAAGTCAGCGGCTTAAGGTGTGTCTGGAATTCCCTCTGTGTAACATTAACCATAAATCAAACATTAACTACGTGAAATAAAGAAGATGGTGTTTTGGCACACCAGGATGTGAAGGGCTGTGACGCAGGCCCGGTTGTCCTGATCACACACTTTGAGTGCAAACACTCTCCGGACTCTGTTTTCTTGGTCCACAGACTTATTGTTCACTGGGTGTGTGTTTGTGTGTCCACGTCTACAGCTGGATACATACAGCTCAGGCAGTCCCAGGCTTTACGAGACTCAAAGGGAGAGAGGATTGCTAAAAGTCCTAACGTTTTATTCCCAAATAAGTAAAAAAAACTGCACCGTTATATATTGAAAAAATACAATTCAAATTTTTAAAAATGTCACTTCTGTATGCAGCACTTTTGGCTTTCTTGATTATTATTATTATTATTTAACGCCAATGCACTATTCACACTAACAATAAGTTGGCTTATTAAAAACTAATTTTATTACACTATTTTTGGGTTTGTTTCTTTATGGTTTATTGCACTTTTTGCATTTATCTTTGTAAAGAAAGCGCAAGCTAAATGTAATAATGCAGTGTAAGCAGGGCCACCGCTTGCGGACAGGCAAGGCAGGCAACTGCTTGGGGCCCTGGACCAGAAGGGGGCCCCCAAAGAAGGTAGATTAAGAAGGTCCACAGCAACGACAACATGAAACACCCTTTAATTTACTGCAACGACATGTCGGGAAACGCCCTCAAGGCGGCCCCATGCGCCGTAAAAACGCAGTAAAAACGCCGTAAAATGCTGCTTCTTATCTTAAGTTTCGTTGCCTTGCTCCGCTCCGGGGGGCCCCCAGTGAATGTTAGCCTAGGCCTAGGGCACCTAGGCTGGAGCCCAGTGGCGGTTCTAGACCAATTTGACTGGGGGGGCCACTGGGGGGCCAGTTATTTTCTGAGGGGGGCACAATAAATGCAGGACGAAAAAGAGAACTAGACAGTATGAAGTAATTGCGCATAAGAAAACAATGCAATACAGTTATTGGTATTTGTTTCAGTACACTTATTTATTTCAGATAGATCTTATAGTTATTACTGTTAGCTTCAGCTTAAGTTATAGTGCAATGTTTGCACTAACACCATATTTATATACAAATAAAGGCAATGAACAGTTACATCTCTACTTTACATAATTGTGTCTGCACAATCTCACATTACAGCAACAAAATCCTGCGGTTTTTGGCAAACCGAGTACCAGAAAATATACATTTAAAAAATAAATAAATAACTTTTCATTGTTAGGGGGGCCACAGGGGGGTCAGAGGTCAGTGTTAGGGGGGCACTGCCCCCCCCCCCCCCCCCTAGAACCGCCCCTGCTGGAGCCACACGAGGACGATAACGCAAACGGACCGAAATCGATATCAAAAGTCTTCCATCCACACGCAATAGGCACCAGAAACGTGTCCGTTCACACGAGACCGCTCGAAAGCGCTGGAGACGCTGTAGTACATATGCCGGGCCTGTAAGTGGCGCTGTACTCCTGCCACAAAAGCAGCGAAGAAGACTTCCCGTGCATGGTTGCTTCTGTTTATTCTCCACTGCGGATACTCTGGCTCTTTTTCTCCCTCCCCGAGGCAAGCGTGTTCTCCTGCTGTAAATCTCTTCGGTAGTCCACCAGCAGATGAAAAACACCCACCTCTCCGCCTCTTCCAAGGGACGAGGGGACCGTGCGGCAGAGTTTCAGTTAGATTTTTTTTGTCCGTTAAAGTTTAAATTACATTACATTACATTACATTGCATTTAGCTGACGCTTTTATCCAAAGCGACTTACAATAAGTGTGTTCGTCCAACAAAATACAACTTGAAGAAAACAGAATCATATAAGTACATCAGGTTTCATAGAGCAAAAACATTTCAAGTGCTACTCAACTGGCTTTAGAAAAGCCAGTCCTTTATTAGTATAAAAGTGCTTCGTTAATAGTTCTATCGCTCGAAGTGGAGTCGAAAGAGATGAGTTTTCAGTTTGCGCCGGAAGGTGTGCAAGCTA